ATTTTTTTAAAACTTATATTTTTTGGAGGGCTGGTCGCGGGAAAACCGGCGGCAAAAAAAAATTGAAAAAAATATAAGTTTTATTTTTTTAAACCTTATATTTTTTGGAGGGCTGGTTTCTGGAGAATCGGCGGCAAAAAAAAATGAAAAAAATATAAGTTTTATTGTTTTAAAACATATATTTTTTGGATGGCTGGTCGCGGGAAAATCGGCGGCAAAAAAAAATGAAAAAAATATATAATCTATTTTTTTAAGCTTATATTTTTTGGAGGGCTGGTCGCGGGAAAATCGGCGGCAAAAAAAATGTGAAAAAAATAAAAGGTTGATTCGTTTAAAACTTATATTTTTTGGAGGGCTGGCCGCGGGAAAATTGGCGGCAAAAAAAACTGAAAAATATAAGTTTTATTTTTTTAAAACTTATATTTTTGGGAGGGCTGGTCGCGGGAAAACCAGCGGCAAAAAAACTGAAAAAATATAAGTTTTTTTGTTTAAACTTATATTTTTTGGAGGGCTGGTTGCTGGAAAATCGGCGGCAAAAAAAAGTGAAAAAATATAAGTATTATATTTTAAAAACATATATTTTTGGGAGGGCTGGTTGCTGGAAAATTGGCGGCAAAAAAACTGAAAAATAGAAGTTTTATTTTTTTAAAACTTATATTTTTTGGAAGGCTGGTCGCGGGAAAATCAGCGGCAAAAAAACTCAAAAAATATAAGTGAATTTTATTTTTTTAAAACTTATATTTTTTTGAGGGCTGGTGGCGGGAAAATCAGCGGAAAAAAAACCTGAAACAATATTTATATATTTATATATATATATATATGTTGTATTTTTTTCAAACTTATATTTTTTGGAGGGCTGGCCGCGGGCAAATCGGTGACAAAAAAATGAACAAAATGTATGTTTGTTTTTTTTTTCGGTTGGGAGGGGAGGGCTGGCTGCGGAAAAATTGAACAAATATGTTTATTTTTTTGGACGGCTGGTCGCGGGAAAATCTGCGGCAAAAAAATTGAACAAATATATATATATATATATATGTAACATAATATAATATAATGTATATATACATAATATAATATGATATAATATAATATAATATGATATAATATAATATAATATAATTGCTATAATATATATATATAGTTTTTTTTTGGAGGGCTGGTCATGGGAAATTGGGCGACATAATACAGCTGTTTTGGTTTGTTTTGCGGAGATCTCACCAGAAAAAGGCACGCAAAAAAACCTGGCAGCAATGTTGCTTTCATTTTTCAAACATTCATATGTTGCTTGGATTTGGGCCCAGAAAACAAGTGCTTAAAAAGCCGCTGAAAATATGTCCTATTTTGTCTATTTGTTTTCTTTGAGCTGGCCCTGGAAACATCCAAAAGAAAACGTTTTTGAAAGTTTTAAAATGTAGTGGATTTTGTCCGGAGTGTGCACCAAGAAACAGCTAACAAAACTGTTCAAATAATGTTATTTTGTTTTGCTTTGATTTCTATCGCACACACGCTCGACAACAACATTATGAGTTCCTGAGCCCAACCAGAAAAATGCATGCAATTTTCGCGAAACGGCACATAGGTAAGTATACACAAACCTATATAGATTGTGCGTTATATTTTTTTGAACCTCCCCGCAAAAACAAAAAGAAACGAACATATGTATGTATGCATGCATGTATGTATGTAATGTAATGTCATGCAATGCAAAATGCAATGTAATGTAATGTAATGTATGTAAGTACCTATAGTATGTAGAATTCCTATTTCAAAGAACTGGTGTTGATAAATCTCGCCGCCAAAGAGAAACGAGCCAAATATGTATCAGTTGTGTTTTTAATTTTTGGTTACCTTTTTGTGACCGGCCACGTGGAAGAGTTGTGCCAGCAGCACACAAGCAAGGGCTGATATGCAAAAACCTGTTGGCCTTTGTTTTGTCCATCTGGGCTCTACATTTTGACATGTTGTTCAAAACCGTGCGCGGCATGATAATTCCAAAGTGCAGCGATTTGATTCCAATGGTTCATACGAGTTTTCCAATGCTTTAAGTAGTTACCCAGGTTGCTCAAAAATTAAAATATATTTTTTACTATTTCCCCACGAGGGTTGTGCAAATCCACAATATTTACAGGCAAAAAGTGGTTCATGCGGTTCATTCATCTTACTGGGAAATCCGGTTTTGATTAGCCTCAGCAGCAATGTCAAGGGGTCATCGACCTTGTAGCAAACTCAGCTGGTAATGGAATCTCCCACGTCTTGCTGATCACACACACATATACATATATATATATATAGATCGTATATATATATATAGATAGTGTGTATATATATATATATATATTATCTTCGAACATGCGATTTTCCCAAAATGTTTGTTGACTCGATGTTAAAGCCCCCGGTGATGTGTCCACAGGTGGAGCAGTATCAGTATGAGCAGTTGATGGAAATGGATCCCTGGCTTTAGATGTGCTGAGCGCTGGGGAGGTGGAAGAGTTTGTAGAAAATCTTGGAAGAGGCCCAGTTGAAAACGACTGAACCCATGAGTGGGAAGTATGTTTTTGAGCTATGGAGAGTAAACAAGAACTCAAAGAACCGATTTTGATCCAAAAATTGAGTACAGCATTGGCCCCAATTGACTAGTTTCGAGGCCCTTCATGTTTGCCTCATGTTTGATTTGGTATGAATGTCCAAGGTGGCAGTGTCGGACTGTTTGCATGTCAGCAACAAAGGAACGAAAGCTTGAGGAGACATCTGAAAGGAACGAGATGCTCGAGGACGTGGACCGCTGATTTGTCGAGGATTTCTTTCTGTAAAACTTGAGAAACCTCGTGTTTGTTTGTTCAAAGTATTTGTTGAAACATGTGTTCATGCAGGGTTTGAGATCAGCAAAATCAGCCTAGACCTTATCAGTTTCGACTTGGGGTGCAACCCATTCTCTGACAAACTCGGTTCGTATTGTTGGTGAATTTGTTATCCCATGGAATGTTCCATGGTATCCCAATAAACTGGCAATATATTCCAATAAATAGTCATAAATATATCCATTTTAATTATTTTTAGCACTCTAATGATATAGATATATATATATAACCAGTTTTGCTTCGAAACCCCGTATTTGTTGGTGAACCCCCCCCCGACCCTACATCATAATCTACTGAGGGTGCAGTTGGGGTGGACCACCATAAGTTGGGATATAACCTCCAAAAGTATAGTTTTATAAGTATCCCATCCATGTAACATATATATATATATATTCATACATACGCATGTGTAACATACAGATTTGAACATATTAAACCATCTTATTTTATAATTCATAACTATCGTATATAGCCACTTAGGCACCAAAAACTGGAACAGCACCAACTGAACTTCAGATCTTCAGGAACAGCTGAAGGTCTCCACAGTCACAGCTGAAGGTCTGAAGGATGCACCAGAGATGCATCCTGACAGCACGGGCAGCCAAAAAGAGGGCTGTTTTATGGATATTTAGTATGATGTTATACGTATACGGTGAATTATTTCTTGTATGCGTGATTTAACCGGATTTAGCCATTAACACAGGGATCTTATGGGATTTTAATGATGATAGTTCTTGTTTTATGCGATTCAACAGCGCTGACCATGGGGATAACAATAGAATATCTTTGGAATTCTTTGGATAATAACCCTCCGGTGTCACCAAACATATCAATTGGACATCCCTTATAAACGATTGTCAATGGAGGTTTTAATGCAAAATATACTATCAATGATGGATTGTTCATTGCCACTTTTGATTACCGGATGGCATATATAATCATATATATATATATATATGCGTATATGCATATATAGCAACCCCAGACAGAGACAAGTTAAATCTTATTGAAAGGGATAAATGAATCAGTTTTCTGTCTTTTGGGGTGCTACTACACACTTTGTAAGCAACAACTAGCTAGAATTTGAGATAATTTCAGGTCTTGCCTGGGGATGCAATCCAAGGGACTCTTCCGCAAATCGAAAGGGGCACGGAACTGCCCGATTTTTTCAATTGGATTTACGTCCAATTGAAGCAGAGACTGTTAGTTGCAGACTCGGGCTGTGTGGGCTTAGGCAAGCTGAGACTTTGTCAGCTTCTACACGCATTGCAGAGTTGGAGAAGGACCTGCGCATGGCAGTCAAAACCGCTGCAAAGGTGCAATGTGTTTTATGTTTCATTCATTTTTAGGGACAATCCATTCGTTCTATGGTAATTCCTCAAGCGAAGTACATCAATGGTGAAACTTGATGAGACCCGTTGCTTGGTCCATGGACTTGACCACCTGCCCCCCCTACCTTTCATACATTTGATGGAAATGTATGAACAGGGGGCGGGGTGTATACATACGGAAGGCAAGGGGGTCTTGGTCCCGTGCATGTGAAGAGCAGGAGGTGGAGCAGTATGAGCAGTTGAAGATGGATATGGACGCTTGACTGTGGGTTGGAATGTGAAATGCAGCGTTCAGAGTTGTTGTTCTCCTAGATATTGGCACAGTGGCCACAACTTGAGTCAGTGACGGGCAAATACAAGTGCTAGGGGCCTAAGGACACTATACCATTTTGTGTTGGTGTGATTGACATCATGGCGACGCTAGGAACGAGAGCTGGAGGAGACGACTGCCAGGAATCAAACGCTGCAGGACTTGGGTTTCAGGATGTTTCAAGATCATCTCTATCTGGAAGGATTATATGTAGTTGGGGGGTGATTGTTCTGCTTGGGTATCCCTTGGTTGCGCCATTTCCACTAGTGACGATTCCCCGGGGCCACATGCATGGGATAGACTCCACATATGTTTAATTCACACGTCACACGAAAATCGCACGAGCTTCGGGTATATTCAACCCTCAAGTCCTCGTATACAATTTCCAGCTTTGTCTCAGCTGTCTTCGAACTGTTTTTTTTTTGCAGTTTTTGGCTCTCAGCCATCCAGAAAAAAGTGACTAGTCAATACCGGCCACTTCCTTCAGCTTTTCTCGCCACGATGGACAAGCGCACCGTGGGCTGCTTGGGAGGAGGTCAGTTGGGTCGCATGATGGTTTACGCTGCCCACCGCTTGGGGGTGCGCATGTGCGTCCTGGACCCCCTGGGCGAACACAGCCCCGCGGGGCAGGTGTCGGAGCTGTCTGTGAAGGGTGGCTGGGCGAAAAATAACGGATGGGCCAGGCCAGTGCTCTGGAGAATCACAATGCACAAAGGTATGCAGTATATATATATACACATGATTGTATATGTATATGTGTATAATGTACAAAGATTTAAGAATTCTACGTTGAGATATCGTGATATATCCACAAATATAGATGATATAAACATGTTTCTTTCACTGGTGAGGCCTTCAATTTTCCTCAGACAAACTCACATGTTCTTGCATCGTGAGCCACCTTGACTCTGCTTCCCACGGCGGCCTGCCTATCCGGTCCCGAGGTAGCTTTCAGGATGCAGAAAAGATCAGGGAGCTCGCCAGCAAGTGCGACATTCTGACGCTGGAGGTCAGGTCGAGTGGTGAAGCATCAGCCAAAAATTGTGTGACGACCATTCCTAGTATGTGTTTCTAGCAGCAAAGCCAGAAGGTGGAAAACAAGAAATATCAACACATATAAACACGTCGCAAAGCCTCAAGATAGAAAACAGCATCATTCCCACTATTTAATCTCCATGTGTTTCTAGTGGGGCATTACCACATGCTGAACATAAAACAAATCATGGGGGTCCCAACTCACAGGAAAACATCATGATGGCAACATGAAAACACATAATGAACTACGCAGAATCATACTCAGATAGAATAAGACAGAATCAGTCAGAATGTCAGAAATCCCGGTGCACTGGAGATGTTCCTTACACAGTTGGCTTTTTGGTCGATTTCCGCTATCTCCACATGGCGTTACGTTGGCAGGTGGAACACGTGAACGCTCAAGTTCTGGAGGAACTTCATCAGAAGGGCGTCCCCGTGCAGCCGCTTCCCTTTGTTGTGAAGTTGATCCAGGACAAGTACGACCAGAAGGCCACGGCCACGGAGGGATGGCCTTAGGGATGGAAATAGCTCATGTTAAGTCAACCTAAGTTAACATTGGTAAAGTGCAAAATTCCAGTCAAGCACCAAAGGTGATATCAATTTAAATGTCTTCACCCAAAGGACATGAGCTTGGATGATGTTCCCATTGAATATTGCAATAGCTGTTTTTGTGTCCATGCATTCTTTTGGTGTGCCTGGTTGGTGAAGAGGCGACAAGAAACCCAATAGAGAGGAGAAACAAAAGTGGCACCGGAAGGAGTGGAACTCCAACCATCTCCAACCCTTAAACTTTCTTGTGTGGGTCAGTGAGAATTCCAACGTTGTGTTGTGAAAGTTTGCCCCAATAATATTTGCTCGCAACAGCACATATCTGCACTTGGTCGGATCCGACCTATAGGTCGGATCGATGCTTGGTGATTCATGTTTGGTGTTGGTTAATGTTGGTTATCCGGTAACCAACCATGGCGAGCCATGACATATCCACCCACTAAAAATCAGTGGATTTTTCCAGAAAAGTTCTTCCCATTTCTCGGGGATTTCCCTGCCATGATCACTGCAGTCCGTAAGCGAAGTGTTCTTATCCTGGAAACTGCTGAAGATGATTGGTGATTTTTCCAGGAAATCCATGAAATACTTGGGGAATCTATAGGGAATAGTTGCATATATATATATATATATATATGTGTGTGTGTGTGTGTTTGTTACTTTTGGGGGGTTCCTGAAGCAAATCCAAGTTATGTTTGTTGATTCTCACATATCTCCTTGCTTGGTCAAATTAAATCTATGTTTTGCAGGAACAACTCATTGTAGATAGTTGTTAATATCCCTGCGTTTCGCTGAAAGGTCGAAACAATGTTGGTCATTCTTTCAATGTTTTATCCAATAAGATGATTTTGCAATTGCTTGGTAACTTCTGTATCAACATGGCCAGATAAAACATGGTAAATCAATGTAAATCGATTGGCATTGCTATGGTGAAGTCTTGCCAGGCTCCCAGTCATTTCATCCATAGCAATGCATTTCCAGATTTTCCAGGTCCACTTGCAGAAGCACAGCATTCCTTTGCCGGACTTCGAGAAGGTTGACAGCGAACAGCAGCTGCACAGCATCGGAGAGAAATTTGGTCCCTGGTCGATCACCTGGGTGGTCAGGCCCTTGCGGTTTTATGACGCGAACATTCACATCACATGAATTCACATGACATGTCATCAATTGTCATCAAATCATAATGTTATAATGTTTAGATATGTTTCGATGACGTTTAAGTTCATTTCAGGAAATATGTTTGCAAGTGCGGGCGAGATCTTTTTGTGTTGCTGCACGCAATGCTGAAGAGGAGAATTCTTGGCGAAATTTCATGTTGATGACAATTTACCGTCATTTGATAACATTTAGTGAGTTGAACACCACTTTTGTGTGGTCGAATCCCCATTTGTATCATTTGTGCTCTTCGATATCCCATCTCAACCTTTTGGTTTTACTCAGGTTCCCTTTGAAATTTGTTTGTTTCTCATAATGTACCCAATTCAGATTGCAATTTAGAGTATTAAATATAAACACATATATATATATATTCCCAAATTTCTGAGCAAACCCGTATCAGAATGTTGCGTATATCCCAGTAAGCAGTTTGCTGAGTAATATGCGGCCTGCTGGCACAGTCCAGCTGTCGTCGTGACTAAATAACGAAAAGCAAGAAATGCTGAACAATTAACTGTTAGATCCCCATTATTTAACCCAGATTATCCCCATTAAATTATCAACTATCATGAAAAAATAATTGATTGAAACCATACTTTTGATAGTTAAATCCCCATGATGTCCCTGTTGAGAGTTGGTTAACCTCCCACTACCCTATTGGTCAAACCACCATTTTTCATTGCTAAAATCCACAGTGACAAATCTTGATGATTAAACCACTTATTGCAGCATTGCTGATTATAGCCCCATAGAATTCCATATTCTTCTTTATTTCCGCTGTGGTTGGTAAAATCCAATGTGCTTTTGCTGATCAAACATCCTAGTTTGTTTAGCAGTCATATACCCAAAATAGCGCCGTAGATAATCTAAAGTATATATCTATGTGTTTCATGGTCAAACCCAGCATTGTTGCCAAATTCGTTTTTCCCAGAAATATTTGAAGGGAAAAAATGCTGGACACCCCCATGTTTTGTGGCAAAAACCATGGTTTTCTCGACATTTTCCCCTGAACCAACTCGGTAACTGTGAAAGGCGTACCATACTTGCGACAGGTACCATACCACATGGTACAACACGTGTTACAACATGTTTCACGGTCAAATCACCAATTTTGATGCTTACATCATACTAAATCCCATTATCACAATCATAATGAGGAATTTTGGTTGTATTTACCCACGTTATTGATAGTCTCCCAAATTTTGTTTGTTGAGTCCCCGTTTTTGTTGCTCTCCATATGTTTGATCGTCAACTCCCAAGGTTTGTTGCTACAGTGATCCCAAAAAATGGTTGGTTTTCCCACGGTTTTGCCACTGAACGTGGGAGAAACCGAGGTTTCCCCATGATGCTCAAGAGCCGCTTTGGTGCCTACGACGGCAGGGGCAACGCCGTGGTGGCCAATGCGGCGGCGATCCCAACGGCCTGGAAGAAACTGGGCGGCCACGATGGGAAGAAGCTCTATGTGCCCTGGCTTCCTTGGTCCTATTAATGGGACAAGACTCATGGGCATGGGTCTTAAAAACAAGATTATATGATGGGCATATGATTATATAATGGGTTTATATGAAATATATGATTAAGGATATTAATATTAAGGAGATTAATCATGTGATTAGTTTGGGAGAACATCAAGTAAATTGGGATATGAAGAGGGATACAATGGAAGAATGATGAACTGTAATCAACTATTGTCAACTAGTGTTGATTATTGTTATCAACTAGAATGTCAACTATTTATGAACTAACTGTATATTTATATATGTATACACGTTATTGGCGATATACCCTCGGGCAATTGAACTTACAAACTGGAAAATCAATATTTTCACTAGTTAAATCATCATTTTTGTCATGTGTATTTATATAGATATATATACACATTGGCCATTTTCCATAGCTATGTTGAATAACCAGACGGCATAAGGCCTAGGAAAGGGCTTGTGGGGGGATATTCCCTCAATTTCTATGGCTTTATAAATGGTGCAGTAGCTCTAGTTTAGGTACCTGAAATGGCCATTGATTGGTGGTGACGGAATTTCCCACCAAGTTTGACCATGAAAATCAGAACAAACCAACATGGTGATTTAAGTAACAAAACTGGTGATTTCACTAGCAACTAGAGCGGGATACATACAATACCATGCCATGCCATGCCATGCCATGCCATGCCATGCCATGCCATGCATGCATGCATGCATAATCATACATACATACATATCCCGAAATTCAGTATGATTGAACCATCAAAACATATCAGTTAAGCATCATAAAAGGTAGTCCACTGGAGTATCATGGAGGTAACATGCGAATATATATATATATATATAATTTAATTAAATCCAGCGACCCATTTCCTTTTTGAGGAGGCTATGTTGCTAAAATCACCATTTGTCATGGGCAAATCCCATTGATGGTTTAACACATGATATTCACCAACCTGAAATAAGGTCACGTGCCAACGGTCACGTGCCAAGATTTACAGATCTCAGGTGGAGAAGTGGGCGCCCTTTAAGATGGAACTGGCCGTGATGGTGCCTCGGAATGCTGAAGGGAACTGGAGGATGGGCCTGGAATTGTTCAGTTCCATTCGTAAACTCAGTTTAGTAACTTTAGTAGTGTTATAAAGTTCAATTCCATAAGTTTTTTTCATGGCCAAAACTTTCCGAACTTGAGTAAGTTGATCCAAAGGGGATGCAACTGTAATGGGACTTCGTTTCGGTTGAATGCAATTGTTTGGATGTCATCTCCGCTCAGGTGGCTCGCGGCGTCGATGAGACCATGAACGTGACCATGCGCACTTACCCCGTGGTGCACACCGTGCAGCGCGACAGCGTGTGCTTCACATGTTTGACGCCACCGGTGGGTGTGACCCAGAAGCAGCAGGCCAGGGGCTGGCGCAGCTGGTGATTTCAAGTTATGGAAAGTTATTTTTTGGAATGTTATATAGGTATGACTTGGTAGTATTCATCTTATGTTATTGATATTACCAAAAATGATAATGTATATACTAGAGAAATCACCTTTCTTCAATTGCTTTGCTTTAGTTATTATTTGGTAGTTTGATATCGCTATGACATGTTGATAGATGCTTTACCTATTCACAAAGGTGGTTGTGAATAGCTCTATTGTTAGTTTACCATATTTACTGGAAGGTACAGGGTTGCCAATGCTAGTCAGTGAAGAACCTGAAACCTCACCGGCACCCCACAGTTTAACCTCTTCACCAGCAACATCCAGCAACGATGCCTTGACTTTGAACTTTGAACCAAGCAACGATGCGGTGAGGATGTTTGATCCACATTTCTGGTATCAATTGGCATCTGGACCCGCGTTGAAATGGGACCTTCTGGGCATAGCATCAGCTTCCCCTCCTTATGTATGCCACTAAAACACCATAAAATACAGGACCTATGATTTAAAAAACATATCAGCACTACATTGCCATGATGTCCATTCTATCCCAATATACACGCATTTTTGGTGGTTCCATTATGAAATTATGTTCCATTCCATGTTTGATGGTTACATTAAGTTATATTCCATTTTTTATGGTTGAATTCCATGTTTGATGCTTAAATCACGTTAAATCGCGCTATTGATGCCCATTGGGTAACTCCCACATCTCTCATGTCAATGGAATGGGTTTAAGGGACAATCTTCAGCGAAAACCATTGCCGTCTATCCACTCAACAGGTGTTTCCTGCAGATTTCCCAACCAATCCATCGATTCTGCCAGTGCTTCGCCAGGAACTGGCACAGAAGGTGGCCACTGATGCCATCAAGAGCTTTGACGACGCACGCGGCATTTTTGGCGTTGAGATGTTCCTGCTGGAGGACCGCAGCGCCGCAGCTAGTAGAAAGGTGGAAGAAAGGATGTAAGAGTGGTCGATGACAAGATCATTATAGCACCATTAGACTCACCATTTTAAGCTACTTGAACGGTAAACACTTCTGAATCTGGCCGTTTCTGGACCAACTGTGGTCATCGGGTCCCTTAGCCCTTCGGCCCCCTGAAGGATGGCCAGGTGTTGCTGAATGAGATCGCTCCGCGCCCGCACAACACGGGACACTACACCATGGAAGCCTGTCTCCTGGTGTGAGAAACGCCCTGTCATCAATCGGGGGGCCGGTACCCTCGGATAATCAAACATGGCAATGGAAAATCCCTTTAAATGGAAGTTTATAGCTGGGAAAACCATCTATAATAGTGGGTGATTTTCCATTGGCATCTTTGATTACTGGAAGGTAAACCCTTTTCGACGTCACCCCAAGTCTTTTTCTTTGATACACCCCTAGTATCCCCATGATTCTGGGATGGATGCAACATGACCCCGCATGGAAGGCCTTGATGTTTACGGGTTAATGACATAGCTATGGAGACGATGGCCCGTTTATAGATGATTTGCCTTTTTTTCAAACATTGGTCGATTTTCCATAGCCATGTTGAATTACCAAAGGGTACGCGGTGATACATAAGTGGAACATTTTTTTGGGTAAACCAACTCGTGACGGTAGCTGACAAGAGCGTAATTTTAGACCACTTTCTTCATGGGTGAAGATGTCTTGCTCATGTTCATGCCGTCTATAATTTTTGGAGGCCTTTCAATTAAACGTATAATGTGGTAAACCCTGGAATGAACCTCAAATTATAGGATAGCTTCCATTCGGCTCATTTAGATCCATTTATGGTTGAATTGTGGTTGATTGACCAGTTGACCATTCGGCTTCACAAATTTATGGTATCAAAAAAAACCGTGGTGTGGAGTACTATTGATTGAGATTGTGAGAGATAGCTTTAAGAAAAATAACTGCATAAGAATATAAATCAATAAATAAATAAATACATATATATATATATATAAACAAAATCAAATATAAACAAATATTTAGATATGATTAAATATGAATATACATTAAATAAATAAATAATTATAAATATAAATATAGATAAATATATACATATAAATGCAATAAATATAAATATAGGTAAATATGTAAAATGCGTCCTACCTTAGGAAATTATTTTGAGGTGGGGGTTGGTTCCAAAATATTTTTTTAAAATAATTTCCATTTTTAACATACATTTTATGTTAAAATCACCCGACAAGAGCCATAGCAAAATAATTTTTGCACCCGTACCTTGATGATGGTGCAAAATAATTTTCCACCTACAGAGGTTGAAGCACCTTGAAATAATTTTAAACAAACAACTTAAGGCACCTCAAAATAATTTCTCAGTTGAACTGGGGAAATTATTTCATATAGTTCCAACTGTATAAAATAATTACCAGACACCCATGATGAAAATTATTTCATGGGGTGGGGGTATTTGCAAACCACCTGCAAAATAAATTCAGCATATTACATCAAATTTCAACTACATATTTCAACATGTTCAGTCAGGATCTTCTTTGAATCAATCTGCAGCCATTTCCAACTTCATTCAAGCCACATCCCGTCAATCCCAACACATCCCAGGGAAGTTGAGTTTTGCAAGGTTAGGTTTTTTTGGATTTCTGGGGTGGTCTAGTAGTTAACCACCCCCAAAATAATTTCTGGGGAGAGAGGAATCGATTCAGGTTTCTTTGCCCAAAAGCCGATGCTAAGTCGATGTTCTAAAAAATAATTAGTTCAGCAAGTAATTCATGGTAAATCTCAGGGTTTGTCTGTTCGAGGCAATTTGGATTTTGAACTACTCAATGGGAAGTTAATTTTGCCAGTTTAGGCTATTATTATTTCTGGGGTGGTTTAGTAGTTAACCACCCCCAAAATAATTTATGGGGTAGGAAGGGGTCGATTCAGATTTCTTTGTCCAAAAATCGATGGTCTAAATCATACGTGGTTTAGTAGTTAACCACCCCCAAAATAATTAGGTTCTCATGGTTTGATTCTTTCAGACAGTTTGGGTCAATTTGGATCAGGTTTGGCATTTTTGACCTATTCCAGGGAAGTTGAGTTTTGCAAGGTTAGGTTATTTTGGATTTCTGGGGTGGTCTAGTAGTTAACCACCCCCAAAATAATTTCTGGGGAGAGAGGAATCGATTCAGGTTTCTTTGCCCAAAAGCCGATGCTAAGTCGATGTTCTAAAAAATAATTAGTTCAGCAAGTAATTCATGGTAAATCTCAGGGTTTGTCTGTTCGAGGCAATTTGGATTTTGAACTACTCAATGGGAAGTTAATTTTGCCAGTTTAGGCTATTATTATTTCTGGGGTGGTTTAGTAGTTAACCACCCCCAAAATAATTTATGGGGTAGGAAGGGGTCGATTCAGATTTCTTTGTCCAAAAATCGATGGTCTAAATCATGAAATTCCGACAATGCTTGTCGGGTGCATTCGGGAGGATAGGTAGGGTGACCCCCCAAAATAATTTTGTGGGGATTTTTGCTATTTATTTTGAGGTGGTTCTACTTGTTTTTTCAATCATCCAAAACCATCTTAAACCACCTTGAAATAATTTCCAAAATTATTTTGAACTAAGGGAAGTGTTTTTGAGTAATAGTAGAACCCTACAAAATAATTTATTTGCAAATTTTCAGAAATTATTTTGAGGAGGTGGGTAGTGATAAAGGATATTATTTTGGGATGGTTAGAGTGTTTTGGAAAAAATATTTTGTAGTGGGTTATGTACTGAAGCACCTCAGAATAATTTTGAAAAATTATTTTGGGGGGTCACCCTAGTGATTTTACCCAGGGTAGCCCGCATTATGTAAATATGATTAAATATGAATATAAATTAAATTAAAAATTTAATATATATATATATATATTCATGGTGATTTGTGGCTTTGGGTTTACCACATTATCATCTCCCTATCCCATATTTTCTGGCTTGAATCCCCAAATCATATCCCAGAACATAAGGAAGTGGAATCCCTTTTTTGTTAAGCTCCATTGAATATCATTGTTTCATGGAGAAATCCATTAATTAACATTTTTTGTTGCTATATAGGCAGAAATCGCACACACACAAACATATATATATACATATGTTGATCAGATATGTGTACAGTATAGACCATGTTACATAGCCATTTTAGCCATTTTAGTGCTTTTAGCTACCTTCGAGCTAACCGAGTGAAAAGGTGCTGAACAGTGCTCAGGAGTGTTCATCAGATTTAAGAGCCCAATTTCTCTGTTCATGGTAGCGGAGCTTAGGTTCTGATACCCAGCTGTGAATGTGTAGGTGTCGACGCCGAGCTGTCTCTGCTCTGGCGCGCTCACCTCGTGCCAACTGGAAAAGGTTGACACTCAAGCTCCTGAAAATCAGGAAAATCCAAAGATACTTTCATAACCTTGGAGTGCATCTCCAAAGGTACCCCAGGGTTCTCTTGAATCAGGTCTCAAAGCACCTGAAGAACGACTAAGGATGGCTCAGCAACATGATAAGCTTCGAGAAGGGCTTGAGAGTTGGGAGAACTTGAAAAGAAAGTATGAAGACAGGAGGAAGAAACCACTTGAAGACGACATCTGCAGGAGTTGTCTGCAGCAAATGTGTCCCAACAAGTTGCAAGATCATTTGGACTTGCAGGCTTCGAGATTGACCACGTATGACCAGGTGAAAGCTGAAGTTTTGGCCTATCTCGAGAATGTCGAGACCAGGAAAGAGGCAAAATCAGGAGCCGTTCCCATGGATGTGGATTCCCTTGCTAAGGGTAAGGGAAAAGGAAAACATGACAAAGGGAAAGGCAAAGGTAAGTCCAAAGGTAAAGACAAAGGAAAGAGTCAGTCTTCATCTTGGTCAAACAATCCCTATACCAAGAACTCTGGAAACAATCAGTCTTGGACCAATCAGTCTTGGAATCAGCAGTCTTGGTACAAACAGAACACCAATGACTCCAAGAGCAAAGGAAAAGGCAAGAAAGGTCAAGACAAAGGTAAAGGTAAAGGTGATCAAGGTAAAGGTCGTAAAGTTGCCAATGTTGAGTCTGATGCTTGGACTCAAGAGCAACCTGCAGCAGCTGCCACTGGTGATCAACCTGAACCTGAACTCACAGCGCTGTTCACCTTGGAAGACACTATGGCACCAAAGTCTGAGCGCCGTGAAGAGTCTGAACCTCCCAAGGCAAGAAAGTTGGAACCCAAGCGCCATAGAGGAGGACATCACAGGTCTGAAAGACGAAAGGCAGACGAAGCTAGAAAGAAGGCCAACGAGGACAAGATGAAGGAGATGAGCAAAGAAGGAATCCCACAATGGATTCATGACAAGTTCGAGATTTCCTCTGAGGAGACCACTGATGAGTCTGAGTTTGTCAGCAGACTTGAGAAGCTGCAGAAAGATCCTGAAGTTCTCAGCAAGTTAGACAATTGTCTTGAAGGAGGCCTATGAGAAGGCTTATGGTGAAGTTCTCGACCTAGGATCATCGGAAGAGGTCGAATCAGACGATGTACCATTCAATCAGGAACCTGCACCAGGCATGGAAGATGTAGATCGTCATTGGGAGACTTCCTCTCGAGAGCTCATGTCATTCAAGGAGTTGCACGAGAAGTCCAAAACTGTTTCCAACAAAGGACATCCCTATGTGAAGTGCCAGGCATGTGGAAAGGCACTGAACTCCATGAGTCTTGCAAGCTTTTGGCAACATGTGGAGAGCAAGAATTGCTATCCTCAACGCGCCCTGGAGTTTTGGAAGAAAGAACACTTTCAAGCAAAGGCTGAAAGAGAAGCAAAGGCTGAAGGAGAGGCATCCAAGAAGCGCCCCATGGATGATGCAGAAGCCAAAGATGAGAAAAAGCGCCAAGAGATTGCTAAGGATGAAGAGAAGAAGAAGCGCAAGCAGCATCTTGAGGAGTACTATGAGCGCTTCAGGCACCAGGGTAAAGATGATTTGAAGCCTGAAGTGAAGAAGATCCCCAAGAGGCCAGAGGAGCAAGAGAAGGAGAGATCAGAGAAGGAGGACGACAAGTCATCCAGCAGGGCACCCATTGAGCTGAAGTCCATATCCCCATCGAGAGCGCCTCAGGACAGCCGGGCTGATTCAGCCCAGGCGTCCAAGGGCAAGGGGATGCTCAGCACAGGTGCCAAGAGATTCTTGGAAAAGGCAGTGCGTGAAGCTGCCAACTTTGTGGAAAGAAAGGCCAGGAAGAAGAAGGAGAAGTCACCTTCTCCCAAGCTCAGGGAGCACTCACCAGGAGGAGGAGTTCGATCAGACTCCAACCTTGACTTCCTGGGAAGTTTGGCATCTCCGGTGGATACCATTGTCTGGCCACCGTTGACTCAGGGGCTGCAACCAGTTGCCTACCCAAGGAGATGGCACAGTCTTTGGAGTTGGCTATGACGCCTGTGGATGAGAAGCCGTTTGCCAAGGCATCAGGACAACCAGTCCAGGTGCACGGCATATGCAACCCCATGGTGACAATGGGTGAGAAAGGAGGCCCACAAGTCAAAGGTGTGGGACAGTTCCGGGCAATGGATGTGGCAAAGCCATTGCTATTTGTGTCCAAGCTGGTTGAGAAAGGCTGGACAGTGACCTTCGGCCCCAAAGGATCGTTCCTGCAAAGGGGAGCCAAGAAGGTACCAATCACAATGACTGGAGGAGTCTTCAAAGTAGCCATGGATTTTCATGGGCAGCCCATAGAAGGGTTGAAGGCGTAAGTCCTGTGGAAACCACAGAGAGCGCAGGTAGTGGAGATGCTGAACCGGACAGTAGTAAGCTAGGTTCTCAAGCACTACCAACTGCAACAGCGCCGACGCAGAGAGAAAAAGAAGAACATTTTGTCAGCCATTATCCTTTTAGGAGTTGGTGTGAACATTGCATTCGAGGTAAAGCAAAGGCAATGAGACATGTCAAAGTAGATCATTCAGATGAAACAGTTCCTGTGATCTCAGCTGACTATTGTTTCATGAATTCAGTGGATGACACTGTCATCACAGAGGAAGTGCAGAAAAAGCATGCACCAGTTTTGATAGTACATGATCGATGGTCCAAGTTGACCTACGCACACGTTTTGCCGTACAAGGGAGTTACCCAAGGTCCTATTGGATCTAAGTGTCTTTTGAATGACCTTAAGAAGTTTGGGTACCCCAAGATGGTCATGAGATATGACCCAGAGCCGGCACTCAACTCCGTAGTTGAGGCAGCCAAGAATGGTTTTGACAAACAGTTGGTTTTGGAAAAAGTTCCCAAAGGAGTCTCAGAATCCAAAGGGGAAATTGAAAGAGCAGTTCAAGCTATTGAATCTCAATCCAGGACACTCAGAAGTGCCTTGGAGACTAGCTATGGAAGAAAGGTGCCAGACGACCACCCAGTTTTGACATGGTTGGTTGAACATGCTAGCACCACTTACAATTTGTTTCACAGATCTTTGGAAGTCAAAGATGGGAAGACACCGTACTCGAGACACCGTGGTCGTGAGTGGAGAGTGTCATTACCACCATTTGGGGAAACAATTGAATTCCTCAAAAGAGGTCACAAGTTTGAACAAAGATGGCACCAAGGAGTTTTCTTGGGAGTCAAAGACAATACCACTGAAAAGATAGTGGGGAATGCATCAGGTGTTTTTTCACTGTGCAAAGCATTCGACGCAAGAGTGCTGACGACAGATATGATGTCGAAACGTTGATGTCAGTCACTGGGGTTCCTTGGGATCCCCAGGCATCAAAAAGAGATGACATTTTGCTTCCTCGCTTCCTCAGATTGTTGAGGGAGATCAGCAGCCACTGGCGCCATCAGTGCCAGTTGAGCCACCAAAGAAGTCGACAAGACGACTTTACATCGCCAAACGTGATTTGGACAAATATGGCTACACCGCTGGTTGTGTCGCCTGTGATGCCACTAGAATTGGCAAGAGAGGCACTGGAGTTCATCACACTCCTGCCTGCAGAGAAAGAATGGAACGTCTGCTTCAAGCAGAAGAGGGCAACCTGAGAGTAGCCCAACATACAGCCAAGGTTGATTCTGAAATCACTGGTCAGAAACAGGAAGTGTCCGAAGAAGGCACCCAGATCCTTTATGGATATTCAAGTGAGAGACCACAAGGAGTCCCTCAAGGGTTCAAGGTGTTTGTGCGCCTTGACAAGAATGCAAGGTATCTCAAGGGTACTATGCCAGAAGGTCCCAACTGGGACAACGTCTGGTGGAGAGTCACCAGAGATTTTAAGACAGGAGACATCATCAAGTCGGAACCAATGGATCCTAACTTAGGAGAAGACGTCATCAACGCACCGTTGATTGATGACACAGATATTGTCACTGAGCTGTGGTATTCTGCCACAGGGGAATCAGCGCCAAGTTTGCCAACTACTGGACCTGATGCAGTACAAGCCTCTACGGCCGGTCCAATGCAGAGACCAGTAGTACAAGCTTCTACGGCCGGTCCAATGCAGAGACCAGCTGTACAAGATCCTACTGCAACTGGAGTAGGAGCTAGTGCAAGCTCAGCCTCAGCCAAGAGAGCAGGAGGCGAGCAAGAAGAAAGATCACACAAGAGGTTGGAAATGTCACCAACCAAAGGTCAGAAAAGACCTGCAGACTCAGGAGGCGAAACGTCAAAAGCCAAAGACAGCCGAGCTGCTTCAGCTCAGGCGTCTAAGGGCACCAAACGGCCACCTGAGAATGAGAGACCAGATGACATGGATGATATAGACTAATGTCTTATGAACCTGATCATGGAAGATCGGGAGAGGTATCTTCAGTCCATTGAAGGTGAAGAAGAGCCAGTTTGCGAAGAAACAATTCCTCTTCCACCGGAGTTGGAAGATGAAGCAGTTGCATGGTATTATTATGATGATATCAGTGGAAAGATTTTGGACAGCAAAGGTGTAGAACAAGCCAGAAAAGATGAGGTCGAAATCATTGAAAGTTTTCCAGTTTGGGAAAAGATTCCCAGACACAAGATGCCCAAAGGGGTACGCACCATTGGAACACGATGGGTAGATGTCAACAAGCAGGATGTGGAGAATCCACTTTATAGAAGTAGGTTAGTAGCTCAAGAAGCCAAGAAGGGCGCAGGTTTTGATGAGTTCTTCGCAGCCATGCCCAGTTTGTCTGCTTTGAAGATGCTAGTTACAATAGCCGTCACGTTTCAGTTGCCAGACGCTGGAAAAGCTGTCAAGGAAGCCTATCGCAAGCGTAGACTTCTAGGATTCCTGGATGTGAAACCCGCTCACTTTTATTCAGATGCGACGCGCGAGATTTACGTGGAGCTTCCTGCAGAAGCAAAGAAGCCTGGAGAAGATGTGGTAGGAAGATTGCGCAAGTCATTGTATGGAACAAGAGATGCACCTCTCAACTGGGAGTTGCAGATACAGAAGGTCATGTTGGCCTTAGGTTTCAAGCAAGGAAAAAGCAATCCATGCATATACTACCATGCAGGCCGAGACCTCAGAACTGTTGTACATGGAGATGATTTTACAACAGCCGGAACATTTGACAACATCAAATGGCTTCATGAAGAGCTGTCAAAGAAGTGGAAATGTGTGGAACGTGGTCTTTTAGGACCACCAGGAACACCAAACACCATCCAGGACATGAGAGTCCTGAACAGAATCATCACGTGGAAGGAGAATGGAATTTGGTGGGAACCAGATGCACGTCACGCAGAGTTGGTGATTGATTTGCTCGGAGATGGTCCCCGAGGAGCCAAAGTCAAGACACCACTTGCCAAAGGATCAGTGGAAGATCTTAAGGATGCCGCTGTTTTTCTCAACGATGAAGAAGCAACCCAGTATAGATCAGTTGCAATGCGAGCAGCTTATTTGGCACAAGACCGACCAGATCTGCAAGTAGCAACAAGATCTTTAGCACAAGGGCTACAACGACCAACTACCAGCCACATGCTTATGCTCAAAAGAGTTGCACGATACCTCAGGTATCGACCACGCATGGCACAATTCTTTCCTCATCAGAACAAACTCAGTCCATTTGTGATGTGGTCTGATGCTGACCACGCTGGATGCGTGAAGACGAGGAAGAGCGTGTCAGGAGGCGTCTTGATGGCCGGTGGTTGTTGTATCAAGACTTATTCTAAAGGACAAGGAGTTGTTAGTCTTTCGTCTGGAGAGAGTGAGTATTACGCTCTTGTGAGCGGTGCCAGCAATTTGCTGGGAGAAGTTTCAACCGCCAAAGACTGGGGTTTGCAACCTGAGAGTGAAGTTTTCATGGATGCAAGTGCAGGAAGCAATGGGTTCACGTAGAGGACTAGGCAAGGCCAAGCACGTGGATACTCAATACCATTGGGTACAAGACCGCGTTGCCAAGCGCTACTTTCGGCTGAAGAAGGTCGACACTGGCGATATGCTTGCCGACGTCTTGACGAAACCCGTCATAGAGGAGAAAATGAACAAGGCACTGCAGAATATGAACTTTCACTTTCTGGAAGGTGAACATCACCTGACACTGAAGGCATAGATGGCTTGAGTCGTGGCTATGCTCCGCTGTACATATCAAAACTCGCCTAGTTCAAAACACTTGGACTCACCGTGCCTCCGAACAGGCTCGGGAGGCGTGATCAGATATGTGTACAGTATAGACCATGTTACATGTAGTACATATGTTTGTATATGTGCTGCAGCCATTTTAGCCATTTTAGTGCTTTTAGCTACCTTCGAGCTAACCGAGTGAAAAGGTGCTGAACAGTGCTCAGGAGTGTTCATCAGATTTAAGAGCCCAATTTCTCTGTTCATATGTCGTTAAATCTTAAATCACGATTTTCGATCATTTTTCCCAGGAATTCCCATGAAATCATCATCTTGAGAAGGGTGAGTGAAATTCCCATTGAGTTTCACCAGTTTTGCCGTGACCAGGTGGTGTGGACCAGTTCGAACAACACCTCCGTGCGGTGTTGGGTTTGCCCTTGGGCGACTGCAACCTGCGCGTGGGCGGCGCCATGTGACCTGGCGCACGTCAGCTGGATTTTGGCCATGGCAATACATGGGATTTTTACACAAAAAAAATGTGGAAAAAATGATGCAAAAAACATGTGACGAACCATCAAACATGTGGATATTTATGGATTTTTGATGGGGAATTCATGGGGGAAGTAGGGAACACTATGTCTGTTTTTTGAGCATAAAAGTTCGGGATTTATGGGAACTTGATGGGACCAATGCAAAAATATTGTGAGTTCCTGGGAATTAAGCATCAACATTGCAATTATTATGGATTTAACTTGTGATTTAACTGAGTTATATAATGGGATATGTAGTGGAAAAGTATGGACAATGGTAATTTGACGATTAAGAACAGTGGTATAACCAGTTGACAAGAATGGGGGTTACCAAAAACATGCTGAACAGTGTTTCCAGGATGGTAGTTCAATGATGGTTTCTCCATAATGTTCTTGGTCTCCAACCTCTATGTTTTCTCTCCTGGTTGCTGCATGCTGAGAAGAAGGTGAATGTTCAACTTGTTTGTTGGTTGATTGGTTGTTGGAAAGTAAATCGTACGTACCGATGATGATGTTGGGCCAATTGTGTTGGCTTTCGTTTCGCTACCACGGCTGGCATAGGGTGACCCCATGGAGAGAGGTGATGTCGTTGGGCACCCTTTGGTAACCCATACTAGGATGCTTGTCCAACTTTCAGACTTGGTAAAATCAATGTATGCCATCATAGTATTCAAACAGCGAATTTAGTGCCGCTGAATTCCAAGGCGGTATCATGCCCCCAACGCAGTGATGATCACGACTCAACACCCAATGACTTCAGTGGTTCTACCATTAAAGACCACAGGGAAGACAGGAAACCCAAGGACATCCCTACTTGTTTGAGGAAAAACCCACGTATGGACCATAAACGTTCCACCCAAAACACAAATATTAGAGTATTGATACTCCCATGACGTCCTATTAAATCCACGCCCCCCCAAAAAATCCCATGAAACAATCCAGGTTTGTTGTGGTTAAGCCCCCATCAATTAGATTCCATTATCTCACCTATATACCCAGTATTTCACTCCATTTGTTGATTCCCAGCCCAGAAAGATTGAATTCATGATGTCATGGCTGAATCACCAGTTTTCCCAATGTTTTCCCAATGTTTTCACGTTTCAAAGTCCCAGTTTTGGCAAATTGACCACAGGATGGTGAACATCCTGGGGCAGGGCGAGACCCCGGAGATGGTGGCGAAGACCATGGCTCCCCTGCGCCGGGCGCTGCGGGTGCCGGATGCGGGCATCCATTGGTACGGCAAGGACCGCGGGGATTTTGTCCATCGAACATGTCTGGTTGGTGATTTGGAACATGACTTTTATGACTTTCCATATATTGGGAATGTCATCATCCCAACTGACGAACTCATATTTTTCAGAGGGGTAGGTAGGTATACCACCAACCAGATGTGGATTTGTCACAGGTGTTTGATGGAAATTTTATGGGAGAAGTAGGGAAAAACCTGTATTTTGTAAGGCTTTACGGGAACTTTATCTGGGACCCGTGGAAAATATGGTGATTTCATTGGAATTATGTAAGCATCAACAATTCCTTAATATGGAATTAACTTGTGTTTTCACTGATTTAAGGGGAAAACAAGTATGGACAATGATGAAACATGCTTATCTAACCATCAAACATGTGGATTTATGGGATTTTGTTCCTGTGGAATTTATGGAAAAGTATGGGACAAGTACATAAAATGATGATTTGGCTGTGAAAACTAGTGCTGAACATGGTGATTTAACCAGCCAAAATTGTGATTTACCCCAATAGCCGGGTGGTTTTTAATTTATATCCCATGAATATACTATGAATATCCCATTTTGGAGTGATTCAACTTCCATATCCCATGAACATATCCATGTTCCTGCAGATTTTTCCGACCAGGATTTGTTGGTTGGTGCCGCGTTTTTTTCAACGGCGACTCGAGGAGGGATGCGTCAAGGGACGCAAGATGGGCCACATCACAGTGACGGGTTTCACCCCAGCGAGCGCATTGGAGGCGGGGGCCGGTTTTTCTCGGCCGTTCACCGATGGGAGTTACCCTGGTACTTGGGAGGTTTAAGCATCAAAAATGGTGATTTCATGGGGTATTACCAGTGATTTACTGGTGACTAATACCTTCCGGTAAACCAATATATAGATTATATAGCGAACTGGAAAATATGTATTTTCGTAGAAAAAATATCAAACTAAATGGTCCAGTTTCACTGATGGTTTGAGTTGACAGCACGTCTAGACGAGATGGAACAACTGGAAAAGATGTAGGATGAGCAGAAGTAGTGGCATTTCCCGGACAAACCAGCTGGTTCAATCAAGAAAGATGGGGATAAAAACAAAAACACAGCGGGTTGTGTTTTTCAATACTTCGAATCTACGTTGAGCAAACAGTATTGATTCTGAAATTTGCATGTTTAAGCTTCCCATGCTATGGGTGAGGGTTGCAGCTATATGTTTCGCGGGGTTGAGTGATGGCAGATGTTTGTTTGCTTTCCACGATTGGTGTTCCCACAAAAGATAGAATAGTGGTTCCCTTCTGTTTGGATGGAGTTATTGTCTTTCCGGTGGGGGGGGCATCGCTATAGTTATACCGTACCACCATCAACATTCCAGGTAGCTGTATATGGTCACAGATAATCTTATTATGTTATATTATTTTGGCGTCTAGTATTCAATCATGGTATATCATGGCAATGAATGGACCTGCATTGTGCCTTTATATTATATGTTATATATATACAGTATATACATGCGTAAATGGACATTTCACCATGGCAATCGCATAGCCACCATCTACAGTATATTATATACATGAATAATGATGTGCCCCATCAAACAAATATAAATTATTATCCATTCAAAATTGGGATTTACCACGAGTTATGTTTCATGTGTCCATTAAATGTTGAGATTGTCCATCGCCAGGGCAAGTGAACATGATTTCAAGGTCCAACAATGGTGTCTCGCCACGAAAATCCTCAGGAGATCCGTCCTGTGTTGAAGGCAGTGGATGGTGAGGGAAACGACTCAACCAGCATTGACGCCCGGCAGAGACGAATGGAGTTCCGAATGGGTTTTAAAGAACCATCAACAAAAATACCAAAGTCAACAATAAGCCCGTGAATGAGAACCAAAGAAATACCATCAACAATCATCCGAATATATCCACAAACACCTTTTCGCGAAGCCAATATCAGAAATTGCCAATATTCTCCCAGAATGATCGATAAAGAGTTAATAGACACATTTGCTAGCGTGTATATATATATATATTTGCAGAATATTGTGTGCTAGACAATGAACATTACAGGTGTTTGGTGGTGGTTTCAGCATGTGTCACATACTTTTTCTGATGTACATAATTACATAATTTTATTCTATATGCCGTGCCCAACAACCTCGTCGCATAAGAATATGAACCCGCAAAATTCGCTGGTCAGATGTGGGTTTGTTTGAAAATGGGTATACCATGGTAAATGGTATACATACCGCAAAAATCTGATTTAATGATAAAATGATAAACCGGCAAATTTGGGGTGCCCTTTTTCCAGACAAACCCAAATCTTGCTATTTTTCTTGGCCAGCGGCAAGTTTTGACATCAGGAAGTGCCACACAAGAGCTCTCCCAGCGTGGGCATCATCATGGGTAGCGACAGCGACCTGCCGACGATGAAGGATGCCGCTGTGGTGCTGGATGACTTTGGCATTCCCTATGAGATTAGCGTCGTGTCAGCTCACAGGACGCCTGAGTATATGCATCTTGGCGGTGGTATGAGTCCCAGCGGGGGTAAGTCTGATGTATCTTTGGAATAATATGTTACTTTTTACATGAATCCGTTAGATGGCTCAAAATCATGGGCCTGGGGGAAACATGGGCCAAGTATTCTGAGTATGGTAATCTGCGGAAGCCAATTGTGTGAAGACAAATTTTCCATAGCTATGCTAAATTGCCAGAGGGTAAAGGTTTAGTAATGCCCCATTGAACGAGTTATAAATGTAGAGTACATGTTATGGGCCCCCAGCTCTAGCCTTCGATCCTAATTCCAGGATGGTCCACGCTATCCCCCCATATTCTGACCAAATTTCATTCTGGTGTTTTATGGTCACCCCCCCTTTTTTCTAGCTCAACTCCACAAAATTGATATTTTCGAGATCTCCCAGTTGTTCTCTAGCTTAACCCCCCAGGCTACCCAGTCGTGACCAGGTACGAATATGCCACCACTGCAGAGGCCCGAGGGATCAACGTGATCATCGCAGGCGCGGGCGGCGCGGCTCATTTGCCTGGCATGGTGGCCGCGTTGACCCCGCACCTGGGACCACATGACGGTCGTTGTGGCGGATCGCATGGCCTGTGGCAGCCCCTTTTTTAGGGCTTAGTCACGGTTCGTCTGAAAATAGGGGATCTCCATGGATACCCTCTGGTAATTTAACATAGCTATTGAAAATGGCCATTTATAGTGAGTTGTCCCATTAAAAATTGTGATTTTCCATAGCTATGTTAAATTACCAGAGGGTAATCCCCAACTATAGCCATTTTTTTGGTGAACATGAGGATAATCCATTGGAATGGGGGATGCCCTAGCTTCAGACATATGAACAAAGAAAGGAATACCGCCAGACTTTTGGGTTCGAACTCAGGATACCCTTCGGTTGTCATTCCAAAACTGCTTCATGGCTTTAATTTACCTTTATTTTCAATGTCTAGTTGGAATGATGATCAGTCATTGGATGGTATTTTTTAGAGGCGAAATCCACCAGCAACAACTTTTGGGGTATCAATGAGTGGCTGCTGTGATGGGATGATCCCCCAGCACTGTTGAATGCTGCACAGAGAAACCAGCTTGGCGTCATCAGCAAAGTGGTGGATTCCCGGATGCACACGTGATTAGAAGGGATGTCGGACCATTTAAATAAACAACTACGAGGCTTGGCCGCCCATGATATTGCTGTCAACTCTGTAGGATTGTACATGTCGCACCCCTTTAGTATGACACATACAGTATGGAAAATCCGGACTCTTAACTAAAATTACAGTACGTGTGTGGCCTTCTATACCATTTTGCTCATGAAGCAACAGTACCTTACCCTTGTTCTTTCCCGGTTGTCGTGGGTTAAATCCCCAATAATATCATGGAACAATGTTGGGTGGTTTAATTTCCATGAAGTTACCATTTGGTAATTTAACTTATGGAGCCCATGTTGAAGAACGATCAATCACCGAACTATTTCTTCAGTCATCATCTATACATAACCTATACCATAGCATTAAATTACCAGAGCATTAATATCTCCACAAAACCCCAAAGGACCATCAATTATATAGAGTTTTTTTGGCACGTCCCCATTGCAGAACCACCAAACATTGATAACTTGATATTTAAGTATGACCACATGGTGATTCAACAATCAACAATGGGTGTTTAGCCATCAAAGGTGGAGATGTAATGGTCGTATAGTATATTGGTGATATAGGGGACAATGTTTGGGTTCATTTTGATGTCTGAGATGTGCCCTCTGGTAGAAAGGATTTATCCATGACACATAAGGACTTAACCAACAAACATGTGTCGATGTTCATTGGTTTGTGTGTTTCTGCATGGGGATGGCAATCAAACCGATTGCTAAGAAAAAGCACCATGTCTGTTTTTAATAAGTAAATCAAACATGGAACTAAATGGGCAATTGTCCATAGCTATCTTAGCTTACCAGAGGTATGTCCAGGTTTTCAGGAGTTACATATAGATCGCAAGATCATGTGCGAACGATATGCTGTCGGTCAAATCTTACAAGACTTTTGTCGCTTGACTCCTGGCACCATGGTAGTCCGAACACTGTGGCCTGAAAAGATTGACTAAACTGACCTGTTTTTGTTTCTGCAAAGATCTTTCGGCTTTGCCCAAACGCCCAGTAGCGTTGAATGTGTAAATGTTGATAAATGTCCGGTGCACTGCATGGCTACGTGGATCCGTTATCTAAGAACAAAGGTGCAGCAGATGAAACTGATGAAATCGATCTTCAGATTCTGTCCGCTCTATGCTTGGGTATGACCTGTGGAGGTTGGTGTCTGAGAAGCTTCCATGCAGGCCAGGCGCAAAGCTTGCCGTGCATCACGTGAATGCAAAGCTGAGGCTGAATCAAACCTTGGGAGAGCAAGGGATGGTTGGAACATCGGCAACGCTTTCCTGCACTTACATACAAACTAATGTGTACAGTGCATGGTGTTACATATGTGGGCTCCGGACTTGTGAGGAAGACTTTGTGCTAGCAGGCATTACACAACTTGAAGGAGCAGTCCCTGGAGAGTATTTGCATCATCTGCAGCCTTGCAAGATTGACTTTTGAAAGTAATTTCAGCCAAAGCCTGGAGCAAGTGACCTTGCCATCGAGTCTTCAAAGCTTGAGTTTTGATTCTCATTTCGACCAAAGCCTGGGGCGGGTGACCTTGCCATCGAGCATTCAAAGCTTGAGTTTTGGTTTTCAGTTTAACCAAAGCCTGGAGCAGGTGACCTTGCCATCAAGTCTTCAATGCTTGAGTTTTGGCCATGATTTCAACCAAAGCCTGGAGCGGGTGACCTTGCCATCGAGTCTTCAAAGCTTGTGTTTTGGCTCTCGTTTCAACCAAAGCCTGGAACAGGTGACCTTGCCATCGAGTCTTCAAAGCTTGTGTTTTGGCTCTCGTTTCAACCAAAGCCTGGAGAAGGTGACCTGGCCATCGAGTCTTCAAAGCTTGAGTTTTGATTTTCATTTTAACCAAAGCCTGGAGCAGGTGACCTTGCCATCGAGTCTTCAAAGCTTGTGTTTTGGCTCTCGTTTCAACCAAAGCCTGGAGCAGGTGACTTTGCCATCGAGTCTTCAAAGCTTGTGTTTTGGCCATGATTTCAACCAAAGCCTGGAGCAGGTGACCTTGCCATCAAGTCTTCAATGCTTGAGTTTTGGCCATGATTTCAACCAAAGCCTGGAGCGGGTGACCTTGCCATCGAGTCTTCAAAGCTTGTGCTTTGGCTCTCGTTTCAACCAAAGCCTGGAGCAGGTGACCTTGCCATCGAGTCTTCAAAGCTTGAATTTCGATGAATTTCAGCCATGATTTCAACCAAAGCCTGGAGCTGGTGACCCTGCCATCGAGTCTTCAAAGCTTGAGTTTTGATTTTCATTTTAACCAAAGCCTGGAGCAGGTGACCTTGCCATCGAGCATTCAAAGCTTGAGTTTTGTTTTGATTTTAACCAAAGCCTGGAGCAGGTGACCTTGCCATCGAGTCTTCAAAGCTTGAATTTCGGCCATGATTTCAACCAAAGCCTGGATCGGGTGACCTTGCCATCGAGTCTTCTACGCTTTAGTGCCAGCTGTCGGTCTTGCATTATCTCTGTCAGTGCCTCCAGCTGTTTTTTCTTTGATTGATATGTTTTTATATATATATATTATTTATATATATATATATATATTATTTATATATATAGATAGATTGTCCATATGTTTCCCATATATATATATATATATATACATTGCAATCATTATATTGACGAATCATCGCGAAGTGAGATTTCCAAGCAAAAGAGGCTTGCTTTCCGAGGGATGTGTGAGGCGACTGCGAACCAGTTCTTGTGGGGTCATCAGTCGGTGAATGGCATTCACACTCATTTGTAAATAGGTGTTGCGATGTTAAGTTAATATGTGTTAATTATTTACCTATTTACTACTAGTATCCAACATTTCTCTCTCTCTCTCTCTATATATATATCAATATGTGCATGCATATTCATTTACACATTTACAATCATTTGCATAGATACATTGAAATCTGGAAACAAACAATATATATATACATATCTGTGTGTGTGCTTGTGTGGTTTTACACGTCTACATATCTTTATACATTTTTATTGTATACATATATGTTTTCAGATGTTTGCGGAATGATCTGCAATCTGTATCCGTTGTTTGGCCATGGTATTCCCCTATGCCAACGTTTCACCATTTATCGATAGATTGTAATTATGCTTCCCAAAACGGGACTCGTATTGCCAACAAGTCTACTAGAAATCGACAGCATAGGATTTACCCTGGGAGAATCCGTTGGCATTAAAAGCAATTATAGGCATTTATATAAACACGGAGAAATCAAACATAAGGATTTATATAACCATCAGAATCAAGACTTGTCATGATAAACAGTATATAGGAACATAATCTACGAAAGTCCCGCCCAGGGCGCCTAAGTGTGGTCAATGGGTAGTTCCACCCGCCGGTTCAGTGGAGAAAACTGGGAGTTTCTCCGCTTCATCCTCCCAGTTTTTGCTGCTTCAGTCAACAATTTGTTGAATCAGAACGGATGGTGCTTCTAATGCCTTTGTAATTCCTTCCCCCTAAGATTAAACACCCCCCAGAAACTAAGATGGATGTAGGGGTTAATCACATATATTTGGCACCATTTTGGGTTGTTTTGTATGAACAGCGGATGGGATTCCGTGCTTATCCCCATATTGTTCCCCATGAAATCCTCATTATATCCCATGAAATCAAACCATATCTTTGATCATGAACTCATACTAATCATCCCATAAATCCATAGAAATCCATCTAAATCCATAGCACATCCATAGCACATCATGATGTTCATGACCATAGCACAATCCAAAGCTCCGCAGCTCCCAACTTCCCAAGATTTCCCAAGGCTCCCGGTGGTGGGCGTCCCGGTGAAGTCTTCGGCCCTGTCGGGCAACGACTCGTTGCTGTCCATCGTGCAGATGCCCAAGGGCATCCCTGTGGCCACGGTGGCCATCGGCAACGCGGCCAATGCCGGGCTGCTGGCCGTGAGGATCCTGGGCGCGGCCAATCCAGGACGGAAAAAAACGTCAAAAACGCTTGAAGAAGATGAGTCTGATGGTGAGAACTGGGACTTTATATGGAAGTTTATAGGGTTTAATTGGGTTTAAACGGTTTAATGAAATTGTTCCATGGGATTTACCGGGTTTTAAAAGGATTTAAACTGGATTTATTGTTTTTTTAATTATTATGGGAATTTGAATATTCTCAAGCATGGATTTCATGGTATTTAATGGTGATTTAGTTACCCACATGAAATGCATACATGCATACATGCATACATGCATACATGCATACATCCATACATACATACATACATACATACATACATCCATACGTGCATACATGCATACATGCATACATGCATACATGCATACATGCATACATGCATACATGCATACATACATACATACATACATACACATTTTTTTTGATGTAGATATATGATACACACACACATATATATATATATATACATCATGTGTGTGTGTCTGAAACCACCCAAGCTGTTGCATTCTGGGCCAGGCATGCGCCAGAAGATGGCACGCTTCATGTCCAGCGAATCCACCATGGTGGAGACCAAGAGAAGAAAATTGGAATCCGAGGGCTGGCAAGCATACCTGGCCGGTAGCAAATAGGCGGGGGAACAAAAGTTGGTCCAATTGCTGGGTAAAAAAAATGATCCATAGTGGATCAGTAAAGTTCAGCGAAAACATGTCATAAGTTGAGGCTGTGGTTTCAAATTATCGAGCCATATGAATGGAGGGGTACGTATGCTCAAAGCGATAAAAATTGCGGGGCGGGGGTGATTATTCACCACCAAAAATGATCCAGGTTATACAGCACAAAAGTTCCATTGAAATAGAGCACTTCATGATGATTCATGGAAATCAGGGGCACCTGAGTCAAACCGAAATTTTGGTATGGCTCAAAATTGTGGACCCCAATTGTGGAGGGTAGAATGCTACAAAATCATCAATTACATACTGTACGTGGGTGCCCAGTGGCACCCCGTGAAAAAAACATTATCAATGTGATGTTCACATTTTTTTGATTGGTGGTTTCAAGTCGTGGTTTTGTGTGGTTTCATTTTATGTTAAGACTATTGTCCGTCCTGCCTGGACAACTAAGGAGTGGAAAATTGTCCAAGGTCCAACATACCGCTTTGATTTGTAATTTATTTAGTGGTGTTTGGCAGTGGTTGATGGTTTCAATTTGTCATTTACTGTGTTCTTCAGTGCGCATCCATCCAACAGACAGAATGATGATCATACTTGTCAGTTTTGATATTTTTGGGGACGCGGTGAAACCACCCACCAGTTAGACAATACTACCCAAATCTACACACCAATCGAATCACTGTACATCTCCCCTCGACGGTGAAATCCCAACATGTTTTTGATTTTTGTTTGCTGAGAAACATATTGAAACACGGGTGAAATTACCCACAGCCAGGTCATCTTCCATGAGCACTTGCCTTTTGACGAGCGATCTGATCAATTCAGTGCACCTGGTGCCCCAAAATGGCACAACAAGCGCAGTGTACATGTTGCCTTGCAGTGGGTCATTAAAACCCTGCAGTACCTAGCTTAAGTCACTTAAGACCCTTTTGCCTGTTGCCATTTGGAGCAGCATGGGCAATCAGGCTTGCTTCAGTGCAATCCAGCCAGATAGCATTTGATCACGAACGTGCTGTTCTGTTTCACAAGGTGCATTTGTACTTTCCTCTCTGTTGCGCTGAAGACCTTGATTGATATTCTTTTGATTAGCAGCTAGCAGTTGGCCTGCTCTTGAGACACCCTCATACTTGGACACAGAAGATGCAAAATGACATTTGACATTCTTGACGCCACGCCTGCAGTGTGAAGTTGTTGTGCACATTTTTTTCATGTTTTTTCAGTTGGTTTATTGTTGTTGTTCCTTCAAAACCTGGGCAGGATGTATGAGCTGTTTGAATTGAGACCCTAGCCCTTCCCCTGCCCTGCAATCAGCAGGAATTGATGTTTCAGATTTCAACCGATTTGCCCTGAGGAACAGAAGCTGCATGCCAGCATTGCGAAGAACCAAGAGCTGCAGGACTTGAGACTGGATGCTACAAATGTTGTTCCTTGTGGCCTTGTGGTGACTGATTATCCCCACGCAATTTACTGTTTCAATCAGTTTTCCCATGTTAAGAGAGCCTTGCTTTGCTTGATTCCTTGCCCCTCCAGATGATTTGTTGATTGCCCCAGTCAGATACTAGCCAAACTAGGAGCGGCTGGACGTGTTGACAGCTGAGAAGAACCAAGCGTCCCAGATGCCTCCTGGCAGCAGTGGTATGCAGCAACAGTCAAATTTGTGATTGAAAGGAATCCTTGGAAGTCAAGTGGGCCCCGTTTGCTGCTCTGGCGTGGCTGGCTTCTGATGAAACTATGTTGTCTTTGTTTTTTCCACCGGCCCATTTTGGAATAAGACCATACGAATCACACGGAGAGGGTGCCGTTGACCCAGACACGTCTCACGCGCGAATTCAGGCAGTCAGCGGAACACGAGTCAGCTTCTGCACGTGTGGCAGAGCTGGAGCAGGAACTTCAGATGGCTGGGGCAATGTTTGCCCAGGTGTGCCGACACAGCGCGAGATTTTGAAACGCAATTGTGTTAAATTTTGATGAATTTTGTGGATTTCAATTGTGTAGTTGCCATGTGGTTCTATTTTCTTGTCATGTGACTATTCGTGATGCGTTTTAGGAAGGTTTGTTCATTGCAGAGGTGTCTAACACCAAGCCAATATATGAATATAACAGACCCGAATCAATATTATTGATGTTTTTTCCGTTTTTATTTTTGGCAGGGAGTCAGCGGGGCATATATATATATATTTATGTGTTTATTTATGTATTTTATTATTTTATTTGCATTCATGTTTATATTTACATTTACATCAGGAGGAAGAAAGTTTTTTCCCGTTTAGAGTCTTATAAGCATCATGATCCTCAGCCGCGGATCAATTATACTCATTTCGCGTGGCCTGTGTGGCGGATCGTATTTCAAGTCGGAATAAATTAGAACTCTTTTAAAGCAAACCAGTTGATCCGCGATCCGCCACGTGATTCATATGAAACCTGTCAGGAGTCTAAGGGGAGAGGGTTGTAGCAGCTAGTCAAGAGGAAAAACTTTTGTCCTGGGGTTGCGTTATTTTACACCTGCATCATTGCCTAGAAGAGAAGACCTGAAATCACGCGCATGCAGGTCAATGTTGAGCACGGCAAGCACTGTGTGAGGCTAAACATGTTCATGAGGACACTTCTTTCTAGTTGAAAATCTTCGTCGAAAAAACAAAATTGTTTATTGGAAAATGCTCATCAGGAAGAAAGTTTTTTCCCGTTTAGAGTCTTATAAGCATCATGATCCTCAGCCGCGGATCAATTATCCTCATTTCGCGTGGCCTGTGTGGCGGATCGTATTTCAAGTCGGAATAAATTAGAACTCTTTTAAAGCAAACCAACTGATCCGCGATCCGCCACGTGATTCATACTTGGTGGATGGTTTTGATTTACAGCACTTGCAAGTAACATGTAACCTAGTTGTAAGGTAGTTACAACCCTGTTGTATCTAAGCTTGAAGCACTGTGTGAGGCTAAACATGCTCATGAGGACGCTTCTTTCTAGTTGAAAATCTTCGTCGAAAAAAGCAAAATTGTTTATTGGAAAATGCTCATCAGGAGGAAGAAAGTTTTTTCCCATTTAGAGTCTTATAAGCATCATGAGCCTCAGCCGCGGATCAATTATCCTCATTTCGCGTGGCCTGTGTGGCGGATCGTATTTCAAGTCGGAATAAATTAGAACTCTTTTAAAGGAAACCAGCTGATCCGCGATCCGCCACGTGATTCATATGAAACCTGTCAGGAGTCTAAGGGGAGAGGGTTGTAGCAGCTAGTCAAGAGGAAAAACTTTTGTCCTGGGGTTGCGTTATTTTACACCTGCATCATTGCCTAGAAGAGAAAACCTGAAATCACACGCATGCAGGTCAATGTTGAGCACGGCAAGTTGAAGCACTGTGTGAGGCTAAACATGCTCATGAGGACACTTCTTTCTAGTTGAAAATCTTCGTCGAAAAAAAACAAAATTGTTTATTGGAAAATGCTCATCAGGAGGAAGAAAGATTTTTCCCGTTTAGAGTCTTATAAGCATCATGATCCTCAGCCGCGGATCAATTATCCTCATTTCGCGTGGCCTGTGTGGCGGATCGTATTTCAAGTCGGCATAAATTAGAACTCTTTTAAAGCAAACCAGCTCATCCGCGATCCGCCACGTGATTCATATGAAACCTGCCAGGAGTCTAAGGGGAGAGGGTTGTAGCAGCTAGTCAAGAGGAAAAACTTTTGTCCTGGGGTTGCGTTATTTTACACCTGCATCATTGCCTAGAAGAGAAAACCTGAAATCACGCGCATGCAGGTCAATGTTGAGCACGGCAAGTTGAAGCACTGTGTGAGGCTAAACATGCTCATGAGGACACTTCTTTCTAGTTGAAAATCTTCGTCGAAAAAAAATGTTTATTGGAAAATGCTCATCAGGAGGAAGAAAGTTTTTTCCCGTTTAGAGTCTTATAAGCATCATGATCCTCAGCCGCGGATCAATTATCCTCATTTCGCGTGGCCTGTGTGGCGGATCGTATGTCACATATGAAACCTGTCAGGAGTCTAAGGGGAGAGGGTTGTAGCAGCTAGTCAAGAGGAAAAACTTTTGTCCTGGGGTTGCGTTATTTTACACCTGCATCATTGCCTAGAAGAGAAAACCTGAAATCACGCGCAGCAGGTCAATGTTGAGCACGGCAAGTTGAAGCACTGTATGAGGCTAAACATGCTCATGAGGACGCTTCTTTCTAGTTGAAAATCTTCGTCGAAAAAAGCAAAATTGTTTATTGGAAAATGCTCATCAGGAGGAAGAAAGTTTTTTCCCGTTTAGAGTCTTATAAGCATCATGATCCTCAGCCGCGGATCAATTATCCTCATTTCGCGTGGCCTGTGTGGCGGATCGTATTTCAAGTCGGAATAAATTAGAACTCTTTTAAAGCAAACCAGCTGATCCGCGATCCGCCACGTGATTCATATGAAACCTGTCAGGAGTCTAAGGGGAGAGGGCTGTAGCAGCTAGTCAAGAGGAAAAACTTTTGTCCTGGGGTTGCGTTATTTTACACCTGCATCATTGCCTAGAAGAGAAAACCTGAAATCACACGCATGCAGGTCAATGTTGAGCACGGCAAGTTGAAGCACTGTGTGAGGCTAAACATGCTCATGAGGACACTTCTTTCTAGTTGAAAATCTTCGTCGAAAAAAAACAAAATTGTTTATTGGAAAATGCTCATCAGGAGGAAGAAAGTTTTTTCCCGTTTAGAGTCTTATAAGCATCATGATCCTCAGCCGCGGATCAATTATCCTCATTTCGCGTGGCCTGTGTGGCGGATCGTACTTCAAGTCGGCATAAATTAGAACTCTTTTAAAGCAAACCAGCTCATCCGCGATCCGCCACGTGATTCATATGAAACCTGTCAGGAGTCTAAGGGGAGAGGGTTGTAGCAGCTAGTCAAGAGGAAAAACTTTTGTCCTGGGGTTGCGTTATTTTACACCTGCATCATTGCCTAGAAGAGAAAACCTGAAATCACGCGCATGCAGGTCAATGTTGAGCACGGCAAGTTGAAGCACTGTGTGAGGCTAAACATGCTCATGAGGACACTTCTTTCTAGTTGAAAATCTTCGTCGAAAAAAAATGTTTATTGGAAAATGCTCATCAGGAGGAAGAAAGTTTTTTCCCGTTTAGAGTCTTATAAGCATCATGATCCTCAGCCGCGGATCAATTATCCTCATTTCGCGTGGCCTGTGTGGCGGATCGTATGTCAAGTCGGAATAAAATAGAACTCTTTTAAAGCAAACCAGCTGATCCGCGATCCGCCACGTGATTCATATGAAACCTGTCAGGAGTCTAAGGGGAGAGGGTTGTAGCAGCTAGTCAAGAGGAAAAACTTTTGTCCTGGGTTGCGTTATTTTACACCTGCATCATTGCCTAGAAGAGAAAACCTGAAATCACGCGCATGCAGGTCAATGTTGAGCACGGCAAGTTGAGACACTGTATGAGGCTAAACATGCTCATGAGGACGCTTCTTTCTAGTTGAAAATTTTCGTCGAAAAAGCAAAATTGTTTATTGGAAAATGCTCATCAGGAGTAAGAAAGTTTTTTCCCGTTTAGAGTCTTATAAGCATCATGATCCTCAGCCGCGGATCAATTATCCTCATTTCGCGTGGCCTGTGTGGCGGATCGTATTTCAAGTCGGAATAAATTAGAACTCGTTTAAAGCAAACCAGCTGATCCGCGATCCGCCACGTGATTCATATGAAACCTGTCAGGAGTCTAAGGGGAGAGGGCTGTAGCAGCTAGTCAAGAGGAAAAACTTTTGTCCTGGGGTTGCGTTATTTTACACCTGCATCATTGCCTAGAAGAGAAAACCTGAAATCATGCGCAGCAGGTCAATGTTGAGCACGGCAAGTTGAAGCACTGTGTGAGGCTAAACATGCTCATGAGGACACTTCTTTCTAGTTGAAAATCTTCGTCGAAAAAAAATGTTTATTGGAAAATGCTCATCAGGAGGAAGAAAGTTTTTTCCCGTTTAGAGTCTTATAAGCATCATGATCCTCAGCCGCGGATCAATTATCCTCATTTCGCGTGGCCTGTGTGGCGGATCGTACTTCAAGTCGGAATAAATTAGAACTCGTTTAAAGCAAACCAGCTGATCCGCGATCCGCCACGTGATTCATATGAAACCTGTCAGGAGTCTAAGGGGAGAGGGTTGTAGCTAGTCAAGAGGAAAAACTTCTGTCCTGGTGTTGCTTTATATTTTATATTATTTTTACATTTAAAATTTTACACGTATATTTTGTATACATGGCATACATACATTTATTTCTTTATGACCCGCTGTGTATTGCTGGTGGCCCTGTGAATCTCCGGAGGTGGAGCAGTTGAAAATGGAAATGGATCCTTGGCTGCTGGTTGTCTTTTCTGGATGCAACTGCTGGGGGTGGAGCACTAGACTAAGACAGAGTGATTGGCTGGATATCCGAGGTTATTTTTATGTTATTTTTGTGTCTGGTTCAACCCTATTTGGGATGATCTTACTCAAGTCGGAGAAGTGTGCCAGGTGAGGGTTGTTAGATTTTATCACAGTTGTTCTCCTCCTCCGTCTCCTCCTCCTCCTCATCCTCCACCTCCTTCTCCTCCTCCCTCTCCTCCGGCATCTCCTCCACCACCTTTGCATCCACTTCCATGTCCACTTCCGCCTTGCCAACTCTTCGCCAACTTCCGCATGCAGTGGGCACTGCTGGACCTCAACTGCCGTCCGCTCATGCAGTGGGCACTGCTGGACCTCAACTGCCGGCGTGCGATAGGAGTGGGCACCGCTGGACCTCAAAATTGGGACCTTCCGAGCTCAGTGAGCACCGCTGGACCTCAACCTGGGACCGTCCGAGCTCAGTGAGCACCGCTGGACCTCAACCTGGGACCCTCCGAGGTGAGTGAGCACCGCTGGACCTCAACCTGGGACCCTCCGAGCTCAGTGAGCACCGCTGGACCTCAACTGCCAGATAATATGCCAGAAGATATGCCAGATAGAATGTCAGAAAGGATGCCAGAAGATATGCCAGATAAAGTGCCAGAATGTTTGCCAGAACATATGCCAGAAGATTTGCCAGATAGAATGCCAGATAGAATGTCAGAAGATATGCCAGAAGGTATGCCAGATAGAGTGCCAGAAGATATGCCAGAACATATTGCAGAAGATATGCCAGGTAGAATGCCAGAAGATATGCCAGATAGAATGCCAGAAGATATGCCAGATAAAATGCCAGAAGATATGTCAGATAGAATGCCAGAAGATTTGCCAGTAGCAAAACGTATAGATGCCATGGTGGGGATAACTCGAAGTAAAGTAATTTTGTTAACAGGTGGTTGATGGGTTGAACATGGTTGAAACAAAATTGAAACAAACGGCCGCTGAACGTTTTTTTTGTGCGCCTCTGTCTTTGGCAGCATGTTTGTCAAGATCCATTGTTGGCTCTTTGAATGTCCCCTGGTGGGTCTTAGGGTTAAAGAGCCTCGTCACGTCCAAACAACCTTTGGTGTTCATGCACTTCTAGACTCAGAGGATGCTGGAAGTGTTTCATATGCAAAACAAGTGACATGCTGATGCTTGCCCTGAGGAACAGAAGCTGCATGCCAGCATTGCGAAGAACCAAGAGCTGCAGGACTTGAGACTGGATGCTACAAATGTTGTTCCTTGTGGCCTTGTGGTGACTGATTATCCCCACGCAATTTACTGTTTCAATCAGTTTTCCCATGTTAAGAGAGCCTTGCTTTGCTTGATTCCTTGCCCCTCCAGATGATTTGTTGATTGCCCCAGTCAGATACTGGCCAAACTAGGAGCGGCTGGACGCGTTGACAGCTGAGAAGAACCAAGCGTCCGAGATGCCTCCTGGCAGCAGTGGTATGCAGCAACAGTCAAATTTGTGATTGAAAGGAATCCTTGGAAGTCAAGTGGGCCCCGTTTGCTGCTCTGGCGTGGCTGGCTTCTGATGAAACTATGTTGTCTTTGTTTTTTCCACCAGCCCATTTTGGAATAAGACCATACGAATTATACGGAGAGGGTGCCGTTGACCCAGACACGTCTCACGCGCGAATTCAGGCAGTCTGCGGATCACGAGTCAGCTTCTGCACGTGTGGCAGAGTTGGAGCAGGAACTTCAGATGGCTGGGGCAATGTCTGCCCAGGTGTGCCGACACAGCGCGAGATTTTGAAACGCAACTGTGTTAAATTTTGATGAATTTTGTGGATTTCAATTGTGTAGTTTCCATGTGGTTCTATTTTCTTGTCATGTGACGATTCATGCTGCGTTTTAGGGAGGTTTGTTCATTGCAGAGGTGTCTAACACCAATATATGAATATAACAGGTCCAAATCAATATTATTGATGTGTTTTCCTTTTTTTTGGGGGAGGAAATCAGCGGGGCATATATATATATATATATATTCAGTTATTTTCTGGTTTATATTTACATTTATTTTTTTCATATAACATTTTACACGTATATTTTGTATACATGGCATACATACATTTATTTATTTTTGATCCACTGTGTATTGCTGGTGGCCCTGTGAAACTCCGGAGGTGGAGCAGTTGAAAATGGAAATGGATCCTTGGCTGCTGGTTGTCTTTTCTGGATGCAACTGCCGGGGGTGGAGCACTAGACTAAGACAGATCCAAACGCGGGCGATTGGCTGGATATTTGAGGTTATTTTTATGTTATTTGTGTGTCTTGTTCAACCCTATTTGGGATGATCTTACTCAAGTCGGAGAAATGTTTTTTTTGTTAACGGGTGGTTGATGGGTTGAACATGGCTGAAACAAAATTGAAACAAACGGCCGCTGAACGTTTTTTTTGTGCGCCTCTGTCTTTGGCAGCATGTTTGTCAAGATCCATTGTTGGCTCTTTGAATGTCCCCTGGTGGGTCTTAGGGTTAAAGAGCCTCGTCCAAACAACCTTTGGTGTTCATGCACTTCTAGACTCAGAGGATGCTGGAAGTGTTTCATATGCAAAACAAGTGACATGCTGATGCTTGCCCTGAGGAACAGAAGCTGCATGCCAGCATTGCGAAGAACCAAGAGCTGCAGGACTTGAGACTGGATGCTACAAATGTTGTTCCTTGTGGCCTTGTGGTGACTGATTATCCCCACGCAATTTACTGTTTCAATCAGTTTTCCCATGTTAAGAGAGCCTTGCTTTGCTTGATTCCTTGCCCCTCCAGATGATTTGTTGATTGCCCCAGTCAGATACTGGCCAAACTAGGAGCGGCTGGACGCGTTGACAGCTGAGAAGAACCAAGCGTCCGAGATGCCTCCTGGCAGCAGTGGTATGCAGCAACAGTCAAATCCGTGATTGAAAGGAATCCTTGGAAGTCAATTGGGCCCCGTTTGCTGCTCTGGCGTGGCTGGCTTCTGATGAAACTATGTTGTCTTTGTTTTTTTCCACCGGCCCATTTTGGAATAAGACCATACGAATTATACGGAGAGGGTGCCGTTGACCCAGACACGTCTCACGCGCGAATTCAGGCAGTCTGCGGATCACGAGTCAGCTTCTGCACGTGTGGCAGAGTTGGAGCAGGAACTTCAGATGGCTGGGGCAATGTCTGCCCAGGTGTGCCGACACAGCGCGAGATTTTGAAACGCAACTGTGTTAAATTTTGATGAATTTTGTGGATTTCAATTGTGCAGTTTCCATGTGGTTCTATTTTCTTGTCATGTGACGATTCATGCTGCGTTTTAGGGAGGTTTGTTCATTGCAGAGGTGTCTAACACCAATATTTGAATATAACAGGCCCAAATCAATATTATTGTTGTTTTTTCCGTTTTTATTTTTGGGAGGGAATCAGCGGGGCATATATATATATATATTTATTTATATTTATATATATATATATATTCAGTTGTGTTCTTGTTTATATTTACATTTATTTTTTAGATATTATATTTTTACATATAACATTTTACACGTATATTTTGTATACATGGCATACATACATTTATTTATTTTTGATCCACTGTGTATTGCTGGTGGCCCTGTGAAACTCCGGAGGTGGAGCAGTTGAAAATGGAAATGGATCCTTGGCTACTGGTTGTCTTTTCTGGATGCAACTGCTGGGGGTAGAGCACTAGACTAAGACAGATCCAAACGCGGGCGATTGGCTGGATATTTGAGGTTATTTTTATGTTATTTGTGTGTCTTGTTCAACCCTATTTGGGATGATCTTACTCAAGTCGTAGAAATGTTTTTTTTTGTTAACGGGTGGTTGATGGGTTGAACATGGCTGAAACAAAATTGAAACAAACGGCCGCTGAACGTTTTTTTGTGCGCCTCTGTCTTTGGCAGCATGTTTGTCAAGATCCATTGTTGGCTCTTTGAATGTCCCCTGGTGGGTCTTAGGGTTAAAGAGCCTCGTCCAAACAACCTTTGGTGTTCATGCACTTCTAGACTCGGAGGATGCTGGAAGTGTTTCATATGCAAAACAAGTGACATGCTGATGCTTGCCCTGAGGAACAGAAGCTGCATGCCAGCATTGCGAAGAACCAAGAGCTGCAGGACTTGAGACTGGATGCTACAAATGTTGTTCCTTGTGGCCTTGTGGTGACTGATTATCCCCACGCAATTTACTGTTTCAATCAGTTTTCCCATGTTAAGAGAGCCTTGCTTTGCTTGATTCCTTGCCCCTCCAGATGATTTGTTGATTGCCCCAGTCAGATACTGGCCAAACTAGGAGCGGCTGGACGCGTTGACAGCTGAGAAGAACCAAGCGTCCGAGATGCCTCCTGGCAGCAGTGGTATGCAGCAACAGTCAAATTTGTGATTGAAAGGAATCCTTGGAAGTCAAGTGGGCCCCGTTTGCTGCTCTGGCGTGGCTGGCTTCTGATGAAACTATGTTGTCTTTGTTTTTTCCACCGGCCCATTTTGGAATAAGACCATACGAATCATACGGAGAGGGTGCCGTTGACCCAGACACGTCTCACACGCGAATTCAGGCAGTCTGCGGATCACGAGTCAGCTTCTGCACGTGTGGCAGAGTTGGAGCAGGAACTTCAGATGGCTGGAGCAATGTCTGCCCAGGTGTGCCGACACAGCCCGAGATTTTGAAACACAACGTTGATGAATTTTGTGGATTTCAATTGTGTAATTGCCATGTGGTTCTATTTTCTTGTCTTGTGACGATTTGTGCTGTTTTTTGTTTTCCCAAACGTATAGCATGTTGGTCGTGCTTAGTGTATCTTTAGCGTACTTAGATGTATATTTGGATTGCGTCTTGCAACAGAATTGTGGGTGCAAGAATTAGTCTGAGGATAGCAAAGAGAAGCCCACCAGAATGGCCTTTAAGTTCTGAAATTATTTTGTTTTTGTTCTCCCCGGGAATCATTGTAATCTGTCGGGATTTTCAATAGCCCGAAGAATTTCTGACTTTTTTGGATCTTGCCGCGCAGTACCAAGAGATGAAAATGGACATGGATCCTTGGCTAAGGTCCTGATCCAGGATGCCAATGCCCATGAAATGTTGGTAGATGGTGCAAGTTTGCAATAAGCAGTGTGATTTTCACATGCCTGAAACAACCACCTGGAAATTGCACTTTGGAGGTTCCGTGCTAGTGTTCAAAGGCATATAGGTGGCAAGAGCCTTGCGATAGTTGTTTGTCGCATACTGCTACTTCAACAAATTGTATGGCGTGTGTTCACTTCCATGAGCGACTTCAGCTGACGAATTCAATCTATAATAGTCTGTTTAGTTTACCGAGGGTGGGTAGAGCTTGTGAAAAAAAAAACTGACTATTCCTCGCCCTCACCAGCATGAGGAACACAAACTGGAGGAGACGACTGCCAGGAACCAGACGCTGCAGGACTTCAGATGATGTGTTGTTGATGATGATGATGGTGATGATGATGATGATGATGATGCTCTCCATTGCCGCCCCATAGACGCCCATGCATTACAAACAACACGACGTTCACACGTGTGGGATGTATGTGCATGTATAGTCATTAACCAAGTGTTTCAAATATATATATATATACATATGCAATTCCACATGCACTATCATATTGTATACATTAATTCCCACATGATTTCACAGCGCAAACGTGCTACGTATTTGATGCTATTTGCGTGGATTTGTGCCTCCTAGGGTGAAAGGTCTAGCCTTTTCATGTGGTCAGAATCCTGGACGCCATGATTTCTACCGCCCGTTGTTGATGCTGGGATTAGACTGGCCGCTGGCCGAACCAGGAGCAGTTGAACGTGCTGGAAGTTGAGAAGAGCCAAGCATCGGAGATGCAACCCGGCAGCAGCGGTAGTTGAACAAGTTGATTTTGAGTCAGGCAAAGATGTTTGCTATTCTGCTTTTGTTTTACCGGGTGCAATCCATGCCAAACATTTCTTCATGCCCAGCAGGTTGTCGCCAATCCTGAGGGTAATCACGAAAGCCAGCGGAAGTTAGCAGGGGTTTGGAGGATTTTGGGGGGATGGTCCAAAATGTCCTTTTTCTCGATAGGGCGAATCCACCCACTAGAGTTTTGTAGAAGAAACTAAGGATCAAAGCTGGCAATTGAATGCAATTGAAGTTTATATACTGTGGCCCACACAAATGCCTGAAACAAATTGTGTTCTCGACACCAGGAGACTAAAATAGATATGGAATCCCATGGGCCATAGACTTCGCCAGGAAAGCGATTGCCAAACCGGGATAAACCGGGTAGTTTGTCGGCACCATCCACCCACATAAAACCAATCTAGAAACATATAACATCAACCATCATAAACCCGAGCCCACTCACCCTTTAAAGTAATCAGCTCCATGGCTTGGAACATCCGATGATTTTCCCAGCTATAAACGTCAAAATTCCATACGGTTCGGGGGATTTCCCAGACACCATGTAGCTGACACCAGCTGGACCGTGCAGCGAGGCAAGCGGCTGCTGTTGCACGCATCGCCGACTTGGAGAAGGAGCTGCAGACGGCCAGGGACGCTTCGGCCAAGGTGGGCTGTGGGTAACTGGTGACGGTGATGACTTTGATAGAGTCATGAATGGTAAATGGATGTAAATGCTTTTGTTTCTGAATTCCAGTTGGATTTTCATACAGCGGTCTTTGAACATGATTGAATTTTGATCAATGTATCACAATGTGTTGTTTCAAACGTCGGAATGTACGTCGTCATGTGATATTTCACCAGCAATCATATAGGTGGTGTCGGGGAACTGACTGGGCTGGTTCTACAGGTATCTACAGGTCATTTTTTTTGTCATGCAAAAAAGGGGGTACTCTCTGGTAAACTAACATAACTATGGAAAATCACAATTTTTTTAATGGGTAAATCAACTATAAATTGTCATTTTCAATAGCTATCTTAAATTACCAGAGGGTACTATACAACCAGTGCACCAATGAACATAGGGGGGATGAACCGATGAACCGGTAAATATCAGGAATGCGGTAAAGTGGACATTTTTGATGAAGTAAGTGGCAAAGAGCACGTACTGTAGTTTATGTTCATTTGTAACCATCAATAATATAGCCAATGAACAAAGGGCTGCTATAAATTGGGTATCACCGATATCTCGTTGCCAGGAATCGCTGGCAGCCTTTGAATGTAATGTATTCCCTGAAACTTACATGAATCATGAATTACCCACCAATTGTAATCAATCAATCCCCTTTAGCGAGGGCTTTTCGATTGGTTTATCTATTGTGTGTGTCATCTTTTAGCAATGGCAACACCGCCGGTACCAGGTCTCCAGGTGGTAGATGATATGACTACCCAACCTGGTTATGTCATAGGATAGCTATTGAAAATGACCCAGTCGAAATGGTGGATTTACCTATTAAAAATGGTGATTTTCCATGGTTATGTCAGTTTACCAGAGGGTACGCCATGATGTCCGGGTTTGCAAAGTGTCTCTTAATCTGATGGTTGGTGTAGATTCAGAAATATTCGCAGGGTATCATGGAATTCTAGCCATTTCCGGTAAATCATAGCAACCTCACAAAGATCTGTAGTAGAGGCTTAAATCACATTTGGGAAGCCTTGTGAGTTCTGAGATCTATTGTGCTGGCACCCTTCTGGTGCCAGAAGGCCGGCAGACATGTGGCGCGGCTTTCTGCGCAGTTCAGCTTCCGTAATGATCCGTAGTATGCAGGATGCAGCTCCACGAAAGCCGAGCACAGAAGCAGGACACCTGTTCTTTGCCACTCAAAATCACCCACTGACAGTTCTGATTTTCAGCAATCTCATCATCTATTTCGGTCCTGTCGGAGCTGCACATTTGCGCCTTGGGGATGAGTTGCAGCCTGCACAGGAGACAGCGGCTGGGGTGACTTTGACTTTGATGGCATCCAAACAACCCCGGCCGCCCTCTCAGCACCCGCGACGTGCCAAGAAAGTTTGATTTGGATGGATGACTATTGTTTGGTAAGCCAGTGACATGGTCGACTTGTGTCGTGAATAGCAAAATGAGTTTCTTTCATTTTTTCTTCGCATTCAAGGTTGCAATATGGTTTGATGTTGATAGTTTCCCTCTTAAACTCGTAACTAGTGTTGCCAGGGTGTTTTTGTCTCTTAAGGATGTCTGCACCTAGGAGTCCTGGCGGCGTGTCTTGATTTTTGTTTCTATGAATTGTTTGCAAAGCATATAGGTTAATTTTCCTGGAACTGTCTTTGTTTGTCGGGGACCGTTGTTGGTCGAATTACCGGGTTGTGGCTGGTTAATTTGCACATGGTTGCCAATTACAGGCCCACTATTTTGGCCGGATATATTTCATACAATATATAAGTCATTCTCCTAGCATTCAGGTGTTGTCTCATTACATTCAGGTGTTAAGTTCGGTTTGACTCAGCAGCAAAGCAACTGCATGCACCTTTTCCCTTGAATTTTGCAACACAGTCGTGCTCGGGATTTTGCATTCTACTGTTTGAAAGGCTGAACAAAGTTGCAAAATGCAAATGTAATTTTCAATCAAATTGATGTTTTTTAGGTTATATTGCGTTAGTACTGTGTGTTTGCGCTACGATTCGATCACTTGGATGGCGTTGGCTTGTTTGCATTGGGTACTGCCAGCCTCAAACCACAAAACTTGCAAACAATGACGCTTATCACACAACATAAACCGATAGAAAGATCAACTGACATGGTTTCATGACCAAAACATCTCAAATTCGAGCTTGGCTGAACAGTCTTTACATGGAAAACCTGTATGGGCAGCGCATGACTTCAAAGCATGTTCATGCACGGCGGCGTCCCGGCGTCCCGGCACCCGTGATGATAAAACGCACCCCAATCTTGCACCACCCTTGGCGCAGCGAACAGTACGGCGTAGTCGTATCAGTAAATCAAAATCAGACTTAGTAGCACATGATTCGGGCTCCTGGGGGGTCCGTTTGCTTCATGGTGTTCTTGCTGCGGTTTTTCCGGTGAAGATCAAAAGTGGTTCTTCTGCCATTCAAATTGCGACTCTTTCGTGAGCCAATTTGCAAAATCGTTTGCTTTGAACAGTGTGTTTGTTTGGAAAGCGGCCAGCGTGTATCCCAAGATATGATTTTGCCAAAACATTTTTTTGCCACAATATCAGTTTGCCAAAGTATGATTTTGCCAAAATATCATTTTGCCAAAGTATTGTTTTTGCCAAAATATGGTGATGCCAAACGTTTATCGCACATTTCCTGGGGCAGATGCCTGCATTGATTGATATATTGAAATTATTAGTATCCCTTTGCATCTCAGGATCATCCTTTGTGGGTTCCTCCAAGTCACTTCTCAAGGACGATGGTTCCACCGGAACCATCACCCCCTGTAAGTGGGGCGTCAGCTTGGGTCAGTGGATCTCCAAAAAGACATCAAAAACTCAAGAAAGAGCTAGAAAAGGACGATGGTTCCAGTGGAACCATCACCCCAGGCTAAGATTGATATTTGGAAAATGTTCGGGTAGCTAGTAGTAGCTATCACAGGGGACGACGGTCCCAGTGGGACCATCACCCCTGGAGATTGTGCAAAACCTGGGGTTTGGGGACGACCCAGATTGTTATTTTGCGAACTTTTCGGCCTATCATTTTGCAAACAAATTTGCAAACTGATATTTGGCACAACTCAGCTTTCTCAGCTTTGATCATTTGGCATCACGATATTTTGGGAAAATTATGTTGGCAAAACAATACTTTGGCAAAAACAATACTTTGGCAAAATGATATTTTGGCAAAATAATATTGTGGCAAAACAATACTTTGGCAAAATGATATTTTGGCAAAATCATACTTTGGCAGAATGATATTGTGGCAAAAAATATTTTGGCAAAATCATATCTTGGGATACACGCTGGCCGCTTTCCAAACAAACACACTGTTCAAAGCAAACGATTTTGCAAATTGGCTCACGAAAGAGCCGCAATTTGAATGGCAGAAGAACCACTTTTGATCTTCACCGGAAAAACCGCAGCAAGAACACCATGAAGCAAACGGACCCCCCAGGAGCCCGAATCATGTGCTACTAAGTCTGATTTTGATTTACTGATACGACTGCGCCGTACTGTTCGCTGCGCCAAGGGTGGTGCAAGATTGGGGTGCGTTTAATCATCACGGGTGCCGGGACGCCGGGAAGCCGCCGTGCATGAACATGCTTTGAAGTCATGCGCTGCCCATACAGGTTTTCCATGTAAAGACCGTTCAGCCAAGATTGAATTTGAGATGTTTTGGTCATGAAACCATGTCAGTTGATCTTTCTATCGGTTTATGTTGCGTGATAAGCGTCATTGTTTGCAAGTTTTGTGGCTTGAGGCTGGCAGTACCACTGCCAAACAAGCACAATTATCCCGATGGTTGCACAGACACACAGTACCAACCGGAAAAAAAACACACACACATACCGGTGGTATCTATTTGATTGATCGTTTTCATTTTACATAGTTCTCCTGTGTTTAACCTCAAACAGTAGGAACGCAAAACCAAAACATGATTGCGTGCAGTTGCCCTGCTGCAGACATAACACCTGAAAGCAATGAGACAACACCTGAATGCTAGGAAAATGACTTATATATCAATATATCCAAATTTGTGCTTGTGACTGACATCCACCCTTCGGTCATCATTTGAACCGATTTACTTTGCAGTTTCCTTACCACAGCGTAGGCTGCTGCATGCTATTGCCCTTCATGTCCTGGGCAATACTTCTGAGGTCCAAAAACCGGCTGCACAGCCAACCTGCACGAGCCAGCATCCACAAGAAGGCCATTCAGCACCCCTGTCAGCCAGGACACGAGGGATGCAAATGACTAACATAAAAATATGGCTGGCAGATTTTGGCGGTGTCATATTTATGTACCTGTATCATCCACATGACATTTTTTGACAACATGTAACATGCATGTTGCCAACCATTTCCTTTTACGTTTCCCAATTTGGACCAGTTTCTTCAAAAAGGATAACGTGAGGACTGGCCCTGGTCAAAGGTTGCTTGCAAACAAAACACATACCAAAATACTGCCCGAGAAAAAATATGTCCTTCCAAGACCAAGACAACATAAAGTCTGCATCCCTTGCATGTCAAGCCATGAAATTTCTCAGATAGGATTCGCATATAATATATAATATAAAATATATATATATAGGTGCCCTCAAAAAACCTAAACAATCGCATCAAGCACCTTAAGGTCAAATCCAAGAAAGAATCCAGGGGTCAGTAGGGGTAGGCTGGGTCTGGCATTCAATTTGGTTTTCCCAAGATTCGCAACAGTGCGTTTCCTTTATCATCTAGCTGACAGTCACTCACAGCTTCCGAAGGTGAATAGAGGGTCAAATTTGGCGAGGGTCTCACAAAGTATAGCGCATTTCATAGGAATACAATCACGGGTTGTTGGCTTGTTTTTTCCCAACCTTCTTTGGGTAAATGACCCCTAATGACAAATATGTTTACAGGGGCTGAAGCCACCAACCAGATGATGTCTTCCCCGATTTTGTAATTGACCAGACTGACCAGGTGAGGGTGGCTGGGATGAATTTGGCCTGGACCTACTGGAAGCCCCACATGCTGCTGGGCACTGGAGTGGAAGATCTTGGAAGGAACAGGATGATGGTGTGGAAGCGGAGTAAGCAATAACTCCCAGTAACTTGTAACGAAGTGTCATAACTCATAACCAAGTTAGGACTAATTCGCTGACTTCACTGACAATGTAAGCAATGGGCCCTAGTCATCAAGAAAACCTTTTGGAAATACACAGGAAATGGAAATCGTGCAAATGTGGGTCATAGTCCTAGTGGGAATGGCGGTATCCCAGCTCTATTCATCGATTGAGTATTGCAAAGGGGTAGCTTATGTCTCGGTAAGCCAATTGCTTAGTAGATCTTGGTGGATATATGTTGCAACATATTGTATATAACCATTGCAAGTGGAGCTACAACTCAGTTTGTTTTGCTGTTAATGTCCTGGTGGGTCCAACATGATCCCACTGCTTTTTGTCAAACGTCTTGGTGATGGAAGGACCAGTTACTGAATATCGAATATCGCGCATACCTGACATGCATGTTTCAAATCTTGGTGATGGGCTGAAGCCAGCAACTAAAACCTTCGGGTGTGGTTTGACGGCCCTGTGTCTTCTTCTCCTGTTTCGATAGTGACAGAAGCAGTACGTATACCTCATGGGGCTTTAGTTCATTTAGTTCACCGAACATTATTGTGAGTGGACCCAAGCGTCATGCTCAAGAGCTTGGGTTTCGAATTTTCGAGTCCGGCCAGTGTTTGCATACCCAGTGCCTTGAATTTGGCGCTTTGAAATCCCAAAGGCCCCTGATCGAGGGAAATATCGCGAAGTGATCACAAGACGCATATCATAGTCAATGATGACGGTTTGTCATGTTTCATGCCAAGTGACACTACCAAGACATGTATAATGTACCGATAAAACATGATAAAACATGACTATGCATATGTGTGCACGCAAGAGTGCCATTAATTACGACGAGCTTGCTTAGAGGCATGTATTTCCACAAATCCCCTGGTGAAACCACTCCTTGCGCCCCTTTACTGATCGCCAAGGGCGGTGACCCAGGCAGATGGGTTGGGGACAAGGGTAGTGGTATTAGTGGTCGACGGGTTTAGTGTATGGGTGAAGCCGTTCTGCATATCGTTTAATAATTGTTTTATACCTTGATCCAAGAGACTGGTGGTGCATACGCATGCCCCTGGCATTTGATCTACACCCAGCTTTGGCTCCGGGATCATGACCAAAAGCATGGTGAAGCCACAAATGTTGGTATGGTGAACACTTGATACCATTCTCATGTCCCATGTCAAGCTTTTGGGTGTAAGTTCCTTTCAGACACCTGATCATCAATGAGCTACTGTACCAGGGGTTCGACCAACAGGTCCTCAGCATCAGCTAGACCGAATCCCCTGAAGACCCTTCGGGCCTTTGGAAGCCGATGTTTCTTTTGTAATACCAACTATTCGACTATTCTACTCAGATTTTCCTTTCCGAGGGTATTTCATTGCACGCCAGCTTTTCTATTGCACACCCATGGTATTAATGTGGTTACCTCAAGCCAATAATAAACCGACCGTTTGGCGATGATGGTTACCATCCATTTTTTAGTTGCTGGGTTTGCCATATATATATATATTATAAATGAGTGTGTGTTTCAATAATGATAGCAGGTTGCTGCCAAGCATCGTTCCCAGCCACTCTTGGATCGATCCCTGACTTGCTCTGTCGGGTGTGAGGCGCACATGCCGCGCTAGATGAGCCGCAGGCGTGGTCTGACTGGAGATTCGACCATGGCTGGGGAGGCTTGGATGACACTTGACTAGCACACCGTAGAGTGCAGTATTGATTGGTTTCAACCCTGCGGGGAGGGTGGTTTGACCATGTTTGACGCATCAAGAATACTTAAAACATATTAACAGTTAACATGTTAAAACTTACAACATCAGCCAGCAAGATTTCGGTTTCAACTACAGGTAATTGGCATGGCCAATCAGATATTTGGAGATTGAGGTCCACCATGTCGGGACACTTGTCGTCCAAGGGGCCTCGGGGACCTATCTTTGACATTTATGTTCAGCCCGTCTTCATTCCAGTGACTCTGGGCGCACATGTTTTTTTGGATCCTATCCGCAACCTATGCTAATGTTTGACCATGTTTGATTATGGTTTTCATGGGTTTTCCGTAGATGGGATGATCAAGCCACTTGTTACATGGAAAACGACCTTAAAAAAGAACAGGCGATCACTCGCACACCCACGTTTTCTCGCCTGTCCATGCACCGCTTTCACCGATGCGCAGGACGCAGCCACAAAAGCCGAGGATGATGGAGGACCCGGCTGGGATTTAGACATGCACGGACCAAAAACCATGGTTTCCTGTATGTTCTTCAAACCAAGCCAATGAATGGGCATGCCGTGGCATTTATGTGTTTTGATGGGGACAAGAGTAGTATGAATGTAATCATAATGGATCATGGGTACGGAAAATTCCCAACATCAATGACTGTTGGTTTTCAGTCTCTGGGTCTGGGGGTGATGCATTATTTTTTCCGGCCTTGAAAACTGGAACGGAACCCTGGAACCCTGGAATGTGCTGGGTTAGTTTGTTGGATGTTTTGGATGTTTTTGCTTGCCTCAGGGCATGTCATGCATCTAGGAAATGGGATGATGATGACCGAGTGACTGTGGGCCGTTTGGCTTCCAATGTCTCGACGCACCCACGCAAACAACTCCGTGACCCCTTACCTTGTAGACAAGGTATTTTGTTTGGAAGTGGATGGAAACATGTCTAAATCACCAAGCATTGAGTTTACCATTTAATGATACATGATGATACAGGCATACTTAGTATACCCGGAAAAAGAAACGCAATGTGAAGAGACAGGGGGGAGAGAGAGAGAGAGAGAGAGAGAGATAGAGAGAGAGAGAGAGAAAGAGAGAGAGAGAGAGAGAGAAAGAAAGAGAAAGAGAGACAAAAAGAGAGACAGAAAGAGAGACAGAAAGAAGAGGGAGTGAGAGAGCATGTGCTAAACTTCTAAACCAATGTTTCCAGGGGTGCAACCCCCGATTCCTGGGCTGTTTAGAAACAATTTGCGACGTTTTGGGGCAACCTCTCTTGCTCATCAAACAGGGTTTATTATATAGTCCGAGGGTGACATCACATTAGGCTGAAACATGCGCGGATAATTCAACCCTGGAAAAATATACCAATATTTTCTTCACCCAGTTTTCTTTGTCAAGCAGTGAAGGAATCCCTGAGAGTGCATGGCACATAGTAAAAGTGGCCATAAAACGAACGATTGCCACAATATTCTTATTAGTTCTGCTGGGCTCAAGAACGATGGTGAACACCTCCGTAGAATGTTCCTTTTTCAGCCTGGGTCTATTGGACTACAAGAACATGTTGGATTATGTTGGGTTGTGTTGGTATGTGTTGGCTGCTGGGCCTCCAAAAGGCCCTGCCAGCAATCCAAAGGTCATGATTTTGTGAGATCTCGAGTTCTTTGTGAGTAAGACCCATAAGTTACGAGCAAAAACCTTAAAAAGTACACTAAGACCTTTACTATAAGATCGTGAGAAATCACCGCGATCGTGGGCAGTTCAGAAATGGGAAAACGTATGACAGCGTTCTGACGTTGTGCAGGAGATGGCTGGGATGACTTCGACCTAGAGGACAGCAAGCCAAAGGTTGCCGAGATGGCTGGGGCAACTTCTGCCCAGGTGTGCACGGGGCGTGGTTTTGAAACACATCTCTGTTGAATTGTGTGCACTTCATGTTGTCATTGCCTTACTTTGGGCAGAGAATTTCTAACGACATCAATGTGACGTCGAATGATGGTCAGATTGGACGGGGAATCATCCCCAAATGGACAATATTTCAGGTATTTTCAGCTTCGCGAGTTACTATATAATTCAGCCAGATGTCCTGCTATGGGTATGGGTGGTGTGTTGTTTTGGTTTTTGTTCCGCAACTGACCCCACAAGCATATAATTACACATATAATCCAATACATACTATTTTATATACCATATATATATATATATATACACAGTAATTGTATCATTTCATATTATCAAATGCTTTATATACCATTGTGGATGGCTGCTGGCATTGAATGCAGAATGCCAGAGGTTGAGCAGTTGCAAATGGAAATGGATCCTTGGCTGCGGGTTATGTTTGCTGGTCGGCCGTGCTGGAGGGGACAGCACTACTGTAGATGGACAAAATATTCAAAACCTGCAACAGGCTCTGTGTTGAACCCCCAACCCCCAATCTCAATGTTTCAATGCGCGTGTTAGCAAAAATGACTTCGGGCTTTGATTATTTCGTCCATTGGAGCTAAAGCACCTCAGTTCACATGAACACTGAACTTTGGGGGTGAGGGGGTTGGACTAGATGGAAAAGGTTTGAATATTTTGTCCATCTACGGTAGTTGAGCCCTTGGGGGAAAGAGAGGTTTGAATGCACTTCCTTCGCTGAAATAGTCATCATGTTCACGGCGAGGTGGTTTTCCACCAGGTGGAGAGAATTATCAGATATCCGAACTGAAGCTGAAACAACGATTTTTTTGGGAGCAGTGATGGGACGAGACATGTTGAAACCACTAAATAAGCGTCTAGGTGTGTCCATTTTGCCGCTGCCTTTCAATATCCACTGTTGGCTCGTTGAATACTTCCTGGTATACATTTGCGTTTGTAAAGAGCCTCCTCCAAACCACCCGTGGCCTTCATGCGCTTCGACACTTGGAGGAGTGTGGAGGTGCTTTAGGTAAGTCAAGTGACTTGCTGATGCTCCGAGGAACAGAAGCTGCAGGCCAGCCTGGTGAAGAACCAAGAGCTGCAGGACTGGAGACTGGATGCTGAAGCACAGAATTTGCTGTTTCCGGTAGATATGTCACTTGCCTCCCTGCCCCTCAGATCTTTTGCTGAATGCCCCGCTCAGATGCTTGTCAAATTAGGAGCAGCTGGACACGCTGACAGCTGAGAAGCAAGCGTTTGAGATGCCTCCTGGCAGCAATGGTATGCAGCAAGAGTCAAATCCGTGATTGAAAGGAGTCCTTTGAAGTCAAGAGGTATTGCTTTGCCATGCTTGCGTTGCCCCCGGTGACATTATTGTACTTTTCTTGTTCTTTGCCAACCCATATTGGAATAAGACCAGAAGGATCGTACAGTGAGGTTGCCCCTTGCCCAAACAAGTCTCACAGTGAATTCAGGCAGTCAGCGGAACACGAGTCAGCTTCTGCGCGTGTGGCAGAGTTGGAGCAGGAACTTCGGATGGCTGGGGCAATGTCTGCCCAGGTGTGCCGACACAGCGCGAGATTTTGAATCACAACTTTGTTTACAGTAATGTTGGTGAAAGTTCTTGCTTTCATGTTGTCATTGCCATGTGGATTTATTATGCTGTCATTTTTTGCGATTTCTGCTGTGTTGTTCTTCTTTCCGCTTCTTCTCGTGGATCGTGCTGGGTCTATCTAGGTGTATGTTTAGATAACATCTGTGGTGTGCAACCATTCTTGGGCAAATTATAGCAACCTCTGCTTTTGCGGGCAGCGTAATTTTCTGTAAATGATGGATAGCAAAGATAATCTCACCAGGATGGCCTTTAAAGTTGTGATATTATCTTCTTTTTCGGGGGATCATTGTAACGTGTCCATATTCAGAAAAGCTAGAATGATTAGAATGCAAATGGTTATTTTGTTTGGATTGGCATGCGTGAGATAGCAGCCGTAGGTGGCGCAGTACGACCACATGAAGATGGAAATGGATCCTTGGCTTGAGACCTGATGCTGGACAATTATCAATGCCAATGCTGATAGATGGTTCAAGTGTGCAATACCAATAATTTTAGCATTCCTGACTAATCGTTTGTGGAACCCCAAAATTTCTGGGTTCCATACTAGTTCTCAAGGGTGTAAAGGAGGCAAAGTCTTGATAGTTGTTCATTGCATACTGCTACTTCTGCATTGTGTTGCCCGTGTCCATTTACATGACTGACTTTCTCACGAATTCCAGCCAGCCCACTTGACCAAGGGTGGGTAGATTTTCTGCAACGCTGACCCTTCCTCTTTCCCGTCCTCTGCCTGAGGAACAGAAACTGGAGCAGACGGCTGCGAGGAACCAGATGCTGCAGGACTATGGGCGTGGATATGTGCAGTGTGTGTGTGTACTCTTCTTTCATCTTCTTTCCATTATATGTAACTAGTTTCGATGCAGCTTTTGGACACACACACATACATATATATATATATTACATATATATTATATATATATATATTAAGATATGATTATGATATATATATATATATATGTTTTCAAAGTTGTTATTCTTTATGATCCTTCTGCACACATGATTCCAAAGTGCAAATGTTTTAGATATGTGGTGGTATTTGCAATCCAATATTAGTGCGTCCGTTGTTCACTCCTCACGTGCGTTTGGTCTAGGCAACTGATGCTGGGATTCGGCTGACCGGATGGCCGAAGGAGCAGCTGAACACACTGACAGCTGAGAAGAACCAAGCATCGGAGATGCCGCCTGGAAGCAGCGGCATTCGAAGAGGGACGGATCTTGAGTGAAGCTGTTGGATGTTCCCCTTCTGCTCAACTGGGCACAGTTTTTTGCCACCAGTTCTTCATGCCAAACAGGTTGTTGCCGATGTTGTGGGTCATCCCGAAATAAATCGGTCGCTAGAATGGAACGCTTCCTTTCAATTTACCGTTGTGCTTTGTTGCAAGCTAGTCCTCGTCCGCCACCCCCTACTATAGGCCTTTATTTTTTAGCTGGTAACGTTGCTCATTTCTTCCGTATTTGTGAGGGTGATCTAAAACTATAGTTTCATCATTTTCTCTGGACCACGAAACCACTAACTACAGTATATTATATATATAGTGTCGATACTTGGCCGATAAAGCTGATGATTCCTGTCGATCTTCGTGTAGACAGACCTGGGATTTGGCCCGAGGGAATGAAAGCTGGCAATTGTCCAGTGGATACGGAACTGCATTGAAAAATTGGATCCACTATAAAATAGGGTTTCACATGGTTTAATTACTAGAACCATCTGTAAACTACGAAACATATGGCGTATGCATATCCATAGGTAATTAGTAATTGGATTCGCCGGGAAAACAATTACAGATGGTGTGGCCTGGTTGTTGGCTTGCTGGACTGCAAACCTTGGATGAAACTAACAGAGGACATTGTCTGGACCCCAAAGGAGCCCACATAGAAGCCAGTTAGTTTATTGGAGGCATCAGCCCACAGAACAGAACATCATAGAACTCTCAGACCAGGGGCGGCAAAACGACGTTAGCAAAACGTATGATTTTGGGTTATCCCTCAAAATGACCTCAAAACTTAATTGAGCCTCAATGGGGCCTCGAAAACAGCTCGATACAGCTTCAAACCGGGCTCGGTTTGCGCTCGATGGCTTCACGAATGATTTCAATAAATTTTGAGGTATGAATTTGCCTATTTTTGCCCGGGAAACATATCAAACCTTACTCGGAATGACCTCGGCGAGGAATTCGGAGAAACATAGAATCTACGTAAACTTACTCAAACTGGCCTCGATGTGATTTTTTGTTGTTTTCAGTGATTTTCAGTGAAACCCGTAAACTCCCTCAAAACCAACTCAAAATCAAATTTGTGTACAAATACAGAGCTGCAGCCAGCAACCACCTCAATGGAGACTCAAACTAGCCTCAAATGAACCTCAAATGGGCCTCAAATGGGGCTCAAACTCAAAATCAACCAGTGAATTCTGATTTTGATAGTTCATGATGTTTGTTGAACTGAATCGAACATTATGTTGAATGTGTTGTTTCAATGTTTTTGTTTCAATGTGTTGCATTATTTTTCAATGTGTTTGGCATGTCTTTTCATTATGCTCATTGATGTTCAATGTGTTTTCGTTATTTTTCACTGTTGTTTTTTGAATTTGTTTCCTTATGTTCCATTGTTTTCATGAATCTTCATTGTTTTTCTATGTAATTCATTATTTTCACTAGTTGTTCAATGTGTATCTTGGTTTTTCATGTTTCAGCGTTTTTCATTATTTTTATTGTTGTTTTCGATGTTTTTGTTTTTTTCATTTTTAAAAAAATCACCATTTTCCATTGGTTTTCATTATCTTTCATTGTGTGTTCCATTGTTTTTCATTATTTATAATTGCTTTTTCAGCGGTTTTCATTATTTTTCATGGGTTGTCCCATTGCTTTTCATCAGTTTTCATTTCTTTTTTCAATATGTTTTCGTTTTTCTATTTTATTTTTCATGTTTTCTGTATTTTTCAATGTTATTGTGTTTTTCAGTGATTTTTCAATGTTTTTCATTGTTTGTTCATTGTTTTAAAAATATGTTTTCATTGTTTTTTTAATGATGATTTGTCTTATTTTCATTGTTTTTTTTACTGTGTTTTTACTTTTACTATGTTTCATTGTTTTTCAATGTTTTTCAATATTGTTCATTTTTTCATTTGTTCCATCATTTTTGAGTTGTTTAAAGTTTCTTGATTATGTTTCATTGTTTTGTCAATGGTTTTTAACAATTTTCATTTATTATTTTGTTCGTTTTTCATTTTCCATTGTTTTTTCAATGCTTCCCATTGATTTTTCATTTTACCATTGTTTTTTATTTTCCATTGTTTTCTGCATTTTTTCATGTTTCCAAAGTTTTTCATTATTTTTCATTGTTTTTCAGTTAGTTTCATTATTGCTCATTGTTTTTCAATGTTTTTCATTAATTTGCATTGTTTGTTTCATGTTTTTCAATATTTTCAGTGTTTTTTTAAATGTGTTTTCATGATTTTTCATTGTTTTCCCAACGTTTTGTTAATTGTTTTTCAGTGTGTTTTTCCATTGCTTCCATAATGTTTTATTGGTTTGTCAAAGTATTTCATGGTTTTTCCATTGTTTTTCATGTGTGTCTCAATGTTTGTAATTATTTTCATAGTTTTTTTCAATGTCTTTTTCATTAGTGTTCATTGTTTTTTGCGTGGGTTTCATTGTTTTCATGGTTGTTTTCAATGTTTTTCATCATTTTTCATTGATTCTTTCAATGTGTTTTCCCTTTTTTATTTTTTCGATGTTTCTACATGTTCTTCATCAATTTTCATTTGTTTTGAATATTTGTTGATTATTCGTCATTGTGTTTGCATTTTTTTTTACTGTGCCTCACTATTTTTCATTGATGTTCATTGTTGCTTCATTCTTTTTCATGTGTTTTTCAAATGTTTTTGATGTGTTCAATGATTTTTCATTGTTTTTTCAATGTGTTTTCATGTGTTTCATTATTTTTCATGGATTTTCACTGTTTGTTTCATTATTTGTCATTGTTTTTCTCATGTTCTTGGATGTGTAATCCTTCAAAATGAGTTCAAAACTTAAATGAACCTCAAAGTACCCTCGAACACAGCTCGAAACAGCCTGACACCGGGCTCAATTTTCACTCGATGGCTCAACGGATGTTTCGATTTTTAGTGAAAATTTACTCAAATTGGCCTCACATGTTTTTTTTTGTCGTTTTCAGTGAAACCCTTAAATTCTTTCAAAATCAATTCAAAAGCAGATTTATGTACAAATCCAGACTTGCAGTCAGCAACAACCTCAATGGAGACTCGAAATAGCCTCACCTGAACCTCAAATGAGCCTCAAATGGGCCTCAACTCAAGATCAACCGGTGAATGATTTTTACATTAGTTTCCATTGTTTTTTCAATGTTTTTCATTATTTTTCACTGATTCTTTCAATGTGTTTTCAATGTTTTTGATGTTTTTTTGCAATGCTGCTTTAGGTTGTTTCATCCGTTTTCATTGATTGCTCATGTTTATTTTTATCATTTGCCATTGTTTTGTGAATGTTTTTAGATGTGTTTCGTTATTTTTGATTCATTTCCGTAGATTTGTTGAAATATTCAATGTTTTTTCCCATGCTTTTGGGTGTGCTTAATTAATCATTTTTTCATTCTATTTTCAATGTTTTTCAATGTGTTTCATTATTTTTCATGGATTTTCACTGTTTGCTTCAATATGTTACATTGTTTTTCCATGTTTTTCCAATGTTCTTGGATGTGTACTCCTTCAAAATGAGTTCAAAACTTAAATGAACCTCAAAGTACCCTCGAACACAGCTCGAAACAGCCTGACACCGGGCTCAATTTTCACTCGATGGCTCAACGGATGTTTCGGTTTTTAGTGAAAATTTACTCAAATTGGCCTCACATGTTTTTTTTGTTCGTTTTCAGTGAAACCCTTAAATTCTTTCAAAATCAATTCAAAAGCAGATTTATGTACAAATCCAGACTTGCAGTCAGCAACAACCTCAATGGAGACTCGAAATAGCCTCACCTGAACCTCAAATGAGCCTCAAATGGGCCTCAACTCAAGATCAACCGGTGAATGATTTTTACATTAGTTTCCATTGTTTTTTCAATGTGTTTCATTATTTTCACTGATTCTTTCAATGTGTTTTCAATGTTTTTGATGTTTTTTTTGCAATGCTGTTTTAGGTTGTTTCATCCGTTTTCATTGATTGCTCATGTTTATTTCTATCATTTGCCATTGTTTTGTGAATGTTTTTAGATGTGCTTCGTTATTTTTGATTGATTTTCATAGATTTGTTGAAATATTCAATGTTTTTCCCATGCTTTTGGGTGTGCTTAATTAATCATTGTTTCATTGTATTTTCAATGTTTTTCAATGTGTTTCATTGTTTTTCATGGATTTTCACTGTTTGCTTCAATATGTTACATTGTTTTTCCATGTTTTTCCAATGTTCTTGGATGTGTAATCCTTCAAAATGAGTTCAAAACTTAAATGAACCTCAAAGTACCTTCGGACACAGCTCGAAACAGCCTGACACCGGGCTCAATTTTCACTCGATGGCTCAACGGATGTTTCGATTTTTAGTGAAAATTTACTCAAATTGGCCTCACATGTTTTTTTTGTCGTTTTCAGTGAAACCCTTAAATTCTTTCAAAATCAATTCAAAAGCAGATTTATGTACAAATCCAGACTTGCAGTCAGCAACAACCTCAATGGAGACTCGAAATAGCCTCACCTGAACCTCAAATGAGCCTCAAATGGGCTTCAACTCAAGATCAACCGGTGAATGATTTTTACATTAGTTTCCATTGTTTTTTCAATGTTTTTCATTATTTTCACTGATTCTTTCAATGTGTTTTCAATGTTTTTGATGTTTTTTTGCAATGCTGCTTTAGGTTGTTTCATCCGTTTTCATTGATTGCTCATGTTTATTTCTATCATTTGCCATTGTTTTGTGAATGTTTTTAGATGTGTTTCGTTATTTTTGATTGATTTTCATAGATTTGTTGAAATATTCAATGTTTTTCCCATGCTTTTGGGCGTGCTTAATTAATCATTTTTTCATTGTAGTTTCAATGTTTTTCAATGTGTTTCATTATTTTTCATGGATTTTCACTGTTTGCTTCAATATGTTACATTGTTTTTCCACGTTTTTCCAATGTTCTTGGATGTGTAATCCTTCAAAATGAGTTCAAAACCTAAATGAACCTCAAAGTACCCTCGAACACAGCTCGAAACAGCCTGACACCGGGCTCAAATTTTCACTCGATGGCTCAACGGATGTTTCGATTTTTTGTGAAATTTACTCAAATTGGCCTCACATGTTTGTTTTGTCGTTTTCAGCGAAACCCTTAAATTCTTTCAAAATCAATTCAAAAGCAGATTTATGTACAAATCCAGACTTGCAGTCAGCAACAACCTCAATGGAGACTCGAAATAGCCTCACCTGAACCTCAAATGAGCCTCAAATGGGCCTCAACTCAAGATCAACCGGTGAATGATTTTTACATTAGTTTCCATTGTTTTTCAATGTTTTTCATTATTTTCACTGATTATTTCAATGTGTTTTCAATGTTTTTGATGTTTTTTTGCAATGCTGTTTTAGGTTGTTTCATCCGTTTTCATTGATTGCTCATGTTTATTTCTACCATTTGCCATTGTTTTGTGAATGTTTTTAGATGTGTTTCGTTATTTTTGATTGATTTTCCTAGATTTGTTGAAATATTCAATGTTTTTCCCATGCTTTTGGGTGTGCTTAATTAATCATTTTTTCATTGTATTTTCAATGTTTTTCAATGTGTTTCATTATTTTTCATGGATTTTCACTGTTTGCTTCAATATGTTCATTGTTTTTCCATGTTTTTCCAATGTTCTTGGATGTGTAATCCTTCAAAATGAGTTCAAAACTTAAATGAACCTCAAAGTACCCTCGAACACAGCTCGAAACAGCTTGACACCGGGCTCAAATTTTCACTCGATGGCTCAACGGATGTTTCGATTTTTAGTGAAATTTACTCAAATTGGCCTCACATGTTTTTTTTGTCGTTTTCAGTGAAACCCTTAAATTCTTTCAAAATCAATTCAAAAGCAGATTTATGTACAAATCCAGACTTGCAGTCAGCAACAACCTCAATGGAGACTCGAAATAGCCTCACCTGAACCTCAAATGAGCCTCAAATGGGCCTCAACTCAAGATCAACCGGTGAATGATTTTTACATTAGTTTCCATTGTGTTTTCAATGTTTTCATGATTTTTCATTGTTGTTTTTGTCAATGTGATTTTCATTAGTTTCCATTGTTCTCAATGTTTTTCAATATTTCCATTGTTGTTTTCAATGTTCTTCAATATTTTCATTGATTCTGTCAATGTGTTTCATTGTTTTTTGCAATGCTGTTTTAGGTTGTTTCATCAGTTTTCATTGGTTGCTGATGTTTTTTTTAAAATCATGTGCCATTGTTTTGTGAATGTTTTTCAGATGTGCTTCATCATTTTTCATTGATTTTCATAGATTTTTTGGACATATTCGGTGTTTTCTCACTGTGTTTGGATGTGTTTAATTGGTTGCTCATTGCTTTTCAATTTGTTCAATGTGTTTCATTATTTTTCATGGATTTTCACTGTTTGTTTCATTGTTTTTCATATATTTTCATGGGTTTTTGGATGTGTCTCATACATTTTCATTGGCTTTTAGATTTTTTTTCACATGTTTCATTGTTTTTTCAATGTGTTGTAAATGTGTTTCATTATTCTTCATGGATTTTCACGGATTTTCACTGTTTTTTGCCTTCTTTATTTTTCATTGTTTTTCCAATGTTCTTGGATGTGCTTATATAATCATTTGTTTCATTTTCATGTTTGCGAGATGTTTTCAATTCAATTCCAGAGCCATAACCTTCTTTCAAAACAGTGTCATGTTGATAACTAAAAATTATTCAAATCATTTTCATGTAGTTGTTATTTGGTGTTTTTTGAATCACCCAAACTGAATTCAAACCAGCCTTAAATCACACTCAATTATTGTAAGAATATCCTGGCCTCAGAACAGACTCGCCGAAACAAATATCTCAAACCAGTTTTTGTCACAACAACAAGAAACAAAATAAAAACACAAAAAAACACACCCAATGTACTTACTATTAAAAAATATCGCCGCTAAATATTCATGTTTTGCAGCAACAGCCAAACAGATAAACTTCAAACTGTACTCGGGTGCATCTCGAATTACACTCGACATTTGAGGGCGGCTGGTTGCCCCCCCCGGACCCCCGACGTAGATAGTCAAAGGAATCCATAATTTCCTCAAACCAGTCTCTTTGCGCAAAATTTATCATCCCAAACATGACTCAAAATCAACTCAAATTCAACTCAAAACGACTTCAGCCCGAAAAATGTGATCAACCGATTTTCCTGATTGAATTTCCCTTCAAGCACCCTCGATTTCTCAAAATCTACTCGATTGCATTTTTGCATTTCCCTCAAACCACCCTCGATTTCTCAAAATCTACTCGGTTACATGTTTGCTAAAAAAAACAGCACCCAGAAAATACTTCATTTTTTTTTGATAATCGGGTGATCCATCGCGCAAAATGACCTCAAAGTCTACTCGCGGCGCACTCGACGTTTTTAGGCGTCGTTTTATAGCCCCCCAAAACGGCACCCTATGATACTCAAAATTTAGTCTCAGTCTCAATGTACCCAAACATGCTTGAATCATTTCTCTCTCCTTAGCATTATACCACCCCAAACATAACTCAAACTCAACTCAAATTCAACTCAATTTCAACTCAAAACAACTTCAACCCGAAAAATGCGATCAAAGTTTTTTTCTGTTTGAACTTCCCTTCAAAACACCCTCGATTTCTCAAAATCTACTTGATTGCATTTTTGCATTTCCCTCAAACCACCCTCGATTTCTCAAAATCTACTCGATTGCAATTTTTTGCTAAAAAATCATCACACGGAAAATTCCTCAAAATCAACTCAAAATGGTTTTGTTGATAATCGGGTGATCCATCGCTCAAAATGACCTCAAAATCTACTCGCCGCGCGCTCAACGTTTGTGGGCGTCGTTTTGCTACTCCCCCAAGCGGCGCCCTATGAGAACATATGCAGAATAGCAGAATCCACATATGACCCAACCCATAACAAATTAGACTCGCTATTTTGGACCATTTTTCCTTGGACTGTTCAAGGCAAGCGGCTGCTGTTGCTCGCATCGCCGACTTGGAGAAGGAGCTGCACATGGCCAGGGACTCTTCGGCCAAGGTGGGCTGTAGGTAACTGGTGACGGTGATGGCTTTGTGTTGAGCGGTCAGACATGGAAATTTTGTTTTATTCTAGATGGATTTTTCGGGTGAAGTGACTCGTGAAGGTTGGTTATCATTTTCTAGATTCTAGACGTGGAAGCTCTATGGGTTACCCGAGGAAGAAGGAGGGTCTGGCGAGTGCACCAATGAGGATAGGAGAGATGAACCAATGAACATAAGGAATGCGCTGCGGATTTCCAATTGCAGAATTATGATTGGACACATCGGTTCGATTTTTACGGCGCACTATTGCCTTTGAATGGTCTTACTTATTGAGTCTCCATTTCCTTCGAATAAACAACAATTCCTCGGCAACCTTGGTTTAGTGCCAGATTTCTTGAGGGTTTATCTCAAAGGCATTCATGTTTTGTTGTTTTTTTCAAACGTGAACTTAGCAAAGGGCCAATGGCAGCAGAGGGATAAGGATCCCACATGGATCCCCACTACATCTGAACATACCAGGTAGCAAATGTCTTCAGTTTTTAGCAGGGTAGCTCAAAAAAACAATGAGGAAACCGTTGGTGATCTATTTTTATGTAGTTTGTACTTTAAGAAAGGTATAAATGATTCTTTCTCCGAAGATAAAAACCACCCACATGCAACCACCCACGTTTCCATATATTCAACCATAGCTCGCCACAACTAAGAACCACTAATCACGATTATGATTCGCTTGTTTTACTGTGTAATGTTGGCCAATGTTGACCACAGATTAACCAACCCCTAGGCTATCATTATTGGGGTAACCGTGAGGTACCGAAGTATCAAAAAATATTATGTGGGATAAACGAAGGTTGGACTTCATGTTGACATATGTTGAATTTTCCCAGGTGCTTGAGGAAGCGCCAATCCAGGTGCCGGGGTAGGGGCGAGCAGCTGGTAACCAGCCAAAGGGGTGACTTGTCATCAAAAACAAAGAACCAATGGGGTCAAACGAAAAAAATGGTGTTTCTTTACGAGGCACCAAGACCAAGAACACATTGTTTCTTTACTGCACAAATTGATCGCATAAACCCATTTGGGGTGATCAAAGTTAAATATTGTATACATTGACATATTAATGCATCATAAAATTGAACATACACCCAGATGGCAAATTTGATTGGGAAATCTTGATGAATTTGTTGTCTTTCCTTTTGACAGACCCAAATCAAAAGTCCATGGCTGCGTCTTCCAAAAAGGAACCTCAAAGACTTTTCTGGGGAAACGAAACTTGACCTTTAAAGACGGGAACATGTCAACCCCTACAATATCATGTCATGAACCTTCAAATACAAACCACTGTTTCCCAGCTTTGTGTTTTTGCAAATGATACATTGACACCATCAATTTTGGATGTTTCTGGGTTTCTCATTATTTGTAGGTTGGTGTGCTATATCATTGATGTTTGTAGACTGCAGAAATACGACAAGTATCAAGGAATTCAAACATATTTTTCCGGTGACAGAAGGGCCAGAACATAAACTGGCCAGCAGACTTGTAGTGCAGCTGTGCACCTCGGCTTCCGTACAGGATAAAGCTCCACGAAAGCCAAGCACGGAAGGAGGACACTTGTTCATCACCCGGCCACACCAGCAGAATATCAATGCTTCGGCAATTTGATTACTTATGTCCATCCTTTCGGGGTTCCACATTCGTGTTTTGAATTTTCTAGATTTCATAGCGGCAGCGCTTTGGAAATCACTTGCAGCCTGGTCAGGAGACAACGGATGGGGTGACTTTGATTTTGATGGCATCCAAACAACCCCTGCCGCCTTGTCAGCAAGGGTCTGCCTTCCCACCTGCCTCCTCAGCACTCCCCAGACGTGACATGTGGGGTTGAATGGCAACGGTATGATAGTGAAACTGTTGATGAGCGGTGGGATATATATATATATATAATATGTTTGCCTCTGATTAGTAGGATGGTACCCTATTGTGAGAAATTTCTTGCTCCTAATTCAGTATCATGCTGTTTGTGGGGGGGAGCCTCTATTGTGAGATTTTTCCAGATTTTTTCATTTTTCCAAATGCTTTATTGCTGATTTTGTTATTGTTTTTCTATGTTTATTTTATTTTTTTCTGGCCTAATGTTAACATAGTCAAATAGTCACTACCTTTTGTTTTTTGGAATATCGTTTATTTTTCAATATTCTTATCATTGAGGATATATAATGACGTGGCATGCTGGGCCACTGTCTTCCCATATTATTAATGTAATTGAAATGTTTATACAACAGATCGAAACATCCAGAAGCCGACGATTGCATGCGAGTCATTGTGTAAAGTAATAATGCACTTTTCTTTTTGACATCCTTTCGCTTACCTGAGTTGCAGCAAGAGCCTGTTGTTTGTTGTTGCCTTTTGCTGCGAGACCCCCATGTTTTGGCTATGTTATTGTTTGTTGTGTGTATGTTGTGTGTGTGTGCGTATGTTATTGTATGTTGTGTATGTGTGTGGATGCCGTGAAATGCTAAGAATACGCACGGTAGCTTGCACGTTGTTTGTATGTTTTGTCTTTTGGGGGTGACGTTGTTTTTTTTGAAAGCCCGGGCAAACCTTTGATTATTAGAACAAATTGAATCAATTCGTTGGTTAGCGGACTTAGGGCTTAACAGAAGGCTGAAATTCTATCTTTGGCCTTCTTTTCATGCTTTGCGTGCTTTAGGAACTTTAGTCAATGTGTTGGCTAACTTTTTGAAAAGGTACCCTACAAATAAAATCCAAGCAAAAAAAAATCCCTGATAACACCAGCCGCTGTGATGTCAGCTGGGCAGGCTGATTTCATCCAATTTGTTCAGCAGTTCCTGAGATCCAAAACAAGCTTATGAATGGGTGATGCAAGCAAATAATGACACTGAAACCATACCTTTGCCCCAACCAAGCAAGTGATAGCGCACTCCCAAAGAATGTAATTGGTTTCGATTGAATCCCTGGCTTCTGCGAGTGCCAATCTAGCATAGTCTGGCCATGAATTATTGAGTACTGATTGTCGGCAGATCACCGCTGCCATCGGGAAATGTTGTCTCAAATGAGACAGACCTGTTGCTTTTAAGTGGACTTCGGATGATTGACAAGTTGTGGGTTTTACCTTAGAATGGATCCTGCCCCACCATAGTGACAGTGACAGATGGCCCCCCTTGCTTCACTACAGTAATGTTTTCTGAGGTGTAGTGCGGGCTGGAATGGCTCAGGAACAGAACCGTAAGCAGCTATATGTCTACCTCCCCACTTCAAGACTTTACTATTTACTGTTTAGCTTAGTTTCCTTCAAACTTATGACTCAATTGACTCAATTTACTCAATAACTTTTGTAACTTTTGGTTTGCTCAGTCTCATATGTTGGCAGACTCCGGATGCAAAGTTCCCATTTCCCATGTGGTGATGAGCAGTTTCGGATTCGGTAGCGTCGCGCTCTGGACCTTGCAGGCTTTGCCGATTCGGTAGCTATCCGGACCTTGCAGGGTGTGCCGATTCGGTAGCGCTCCGGACCTTGCAGGATTTTTTCAAAAATTAAAACATCATCCAAAAAATCAAAGGTGCCGTTAAGATATTCACCTTGTACAGGTGGTTGGGCAGGATCTAAAGGAAAACAAATACCTTGTCAATCATCGGAAATCCACTTAACAAACAGGCCAGCGTCATTTGAGACCACATTTCCCAATGGTCCGATGATAGTAGCAATCTGCCGACTAACATTCGCAGAAGCCAGGGATACAATTGACACCAATTAGATTTTTTGGGGCCGTCATCAACTTCTTAGTTGGGGCAATGTCATGGTATCATTTTCACCTCAAGTATAGTTCCACTTTTCTGCAAAGAATAACGGGAAAACCCAATGACTATTCGATTATATTAACAGCAGGCCAGTTTTGTTTTTTATTTTTATTTATGTTTTTTATTTTTTATTGTTTCTATTTTTTTATTTCATTTTTTCATTTACTATCGTTTCATTTTTTCATTGCTTCCTTTTTTATATTTCTTTTCAATTGTTTTCTTTTTCATTATTTAATCCCTATGTGTGGCTCAGTTACTCAATAATATAACTGTTTGGATGGTACTCTTTTGTGAGCACCAACTTTTTGGAGTGAAAAAAAGCAATTCCGTCCTCCACCTTTCTTTGAGTAAAGCTGGTCCCTTTTCTTTAGAAAACAATAATTATTTGTGTTAAAACTTTAAAATGCAAGGTTTTAAAAAAAATGAGATGCCTGATTAAACCCTTATTTAAAAAACGGCACCCAGACAATTTTTCAAGGGGGTACCTCATGAATGGCCCAGATACTGAATAATATAATTGTCTGGATGGTACCCTTTTGTGAGCACCAGCTTTTGGGAGGCAAAAAAAAAGCAAAACCCGTTCTCCACCTTTCTTTGGGTAAAGCTGGTCCCTTTACTTTAGAAAGCCATATTTGTGTTAAAGCTTTAAAATGCAAGGTATTCAAAAAAATGAGATGCCTTATTAAACCCTTTTAAAAAACAGCATCAGACAATTTTTCAAGGGGGTACCGCATGAGTGGCCCAGATACTGAATAATATAATTGTCTGGATGGTACTCTATTGTGAGCACCAACTTTTGGGAGGCAAAAAAAAAAGCAGGTCCGTTCTCCACCTTTCTTTCGGTAAAGCTGGTCCCTTTACTTTAGAAAGCCATATTTGTGTTAAAGCTTTAAAATGCAAGGTTTTCAAAAAATGAGATGCCTTTTTTGTCCCTTATTAAAAAACAGCATCCAGACAATTTTTCAAGGGTGTACCTCATGATTGGCTCAGTTACTGAATAAAATAATTGTTTGGATGGTACTCTATTGTGAGCACCAACTTTTGGGAGTGGAAAAAAAAACAAAACCGTTGAAATCAATTATAAAAGTAAATTGAAATTAATTGAAAGTAAATTAAGAGTAAACTGAAAGTAAATTGAAACCAATTGAAAGTAAATTGAAATAAACTGAAAGTAAATTAAAAATAGATTGAAATAAATTGAAATCAATGAGAATAAATTGAAATCAATTGAAAGTAAATTAAAAATAGATTGAAATCAATTGAAAGTAATTTGAAATCAATTGAAAGTAAATTGAAATCAATTGAAAGTAAATTGAAATCAGATAATAGGAAAAAAACAAAATAAATTGAAAGTAGATTGAAATCAATTGAAAGTAAATTGAAATCAATCGAAAGTAAATTGAAATAAACTGAAATCAGTTGAAAGTAAATTGAAATCAATTGAAAGTAAATTGAAATCAATTGAAAGTAAATTGCAATCAATTGAAAGTAAATTATAAATAAATTGAAAGCAAATTGAAATCCTTACTTAAGTTGATTAACCCAAAAATTGTTGAGGGGGGGGCAAAAAAAAGTGCGAGTTGTAGAGTATACTCAAATTGTTTGTGGGGGTCGGCCACACTAATCAGAGGCACACATTATGTATAATTATATCTATATATATATATAATTTATATATGTGCGTGTTTTTTTTCATCCTGGGTGGCATGATTGAAGCAATATCAAAAAGAGTTGATGCTGATTGTTAATTTACTACCCCTTTCGCCAACGCCATATATTTTCTCTTGCTTGGTTTCTGTTTGGGGGGCGGGGGCATCCAGGCTCTCATGTCCTGGGGATGTATTTTGTGAGTTGGGTCATTCTGGGACTGTCCATTGGGCAATTGGGGTTGTTTGAAGTCAGCTTCAAGTCATCAAAGCAGCATCGCTCTACAATGGTTGAGTTACCAAGTTGCTGTTTGTGAGTTTGAAGATGTTGGTTCATCACTTGGCCAGTATTTTGGTCGGATTTATCCAAAATCATGTCGGTGACCGAAAACGATGTAGAACCGGCTAAAATCCAATTTTTCATTGTGCAGTTTCCTTAGTCGCCGAGCACGTCTGTCGCACTATTCATGCAACTTCGTGGTCCTAAAACTGGTCGTGAGGTTCAGCAACCGCTTCCAGAGCCAATTTCTGTGAGCCAGCATCCAGAAGGCCCAGTAACACCAACCTGGGTGAGTTTCAAGTCCATTTAGAGCCTTGTTAGGTTTGCAAGCGCAGCTGGTGTCAATGCTGGGGTTCCATTCCAGGTTTTGGGAGTGTGGATGCTTTTGTTTCCGGCGAAAGATTGCTATAATTTCCAGGATTTTCCATCAGATACCATGTTTCATGGGCGGCGTGAAGCACGTCTCTTGCAGCGGTGGTTGTTTCGACCCTCAGCAGGTGAGGGTGGCTGGGATGAATTTGGCCTTGACTTACTGGAAGCCAATCCTCAGCCAAACGCGACTGGGCACTGAAATAGGAAGAGACAGGAGGGCACGGTTTGATCCTTGAAGTTGGCCACATGATTAGTAAGTTGGATACGATGTAACTCAGCTGGTTTTATCCTTCAAAACATGTAAGTGTATGGGCGTGATTTTCCGTTTCCCAACACATCTATGTAAAACAAAGTGGCTGATTTAGGCTCCTTAGTGGTACTGTAGTAAAAGGATAACCGTTGAAGAAGGAATTTATTGGATGGGTCAAAAATGTCCTGGCTGGTGCTTGCAAAGTCATGAGGCATACCGTGAATATATTACCTGAATGCGCATGCATACAATATGGCGCATATATATATTCGTCAACTGAAACAAACATATATTCCATGCCGAATCACGAACTTCCATGATACATCATTATAAATGAATAAGTATATATAGTTTTTGGATCAAACATCTCCGCACAATTCCCGGTAAAGCCACCCTTTGCGCCCTCCCCGCTGAGAGCCAAGGGCGGCGACCCAGGCAAACTGATGGCTTAGGGGAAAGGGTAGTGGTCGGTGGGTTTAGTGTGGGTATGGGTCAAGCTGGTTTTCATACCGTGTTTTTTGGAAGTTTTTCCAACAGACTTCTGGCGCATAGCCACTTGAAGAGCTGGCGACATGTTCTTTTTTATGTGTTTTTTTGGGTCTTCTTATTTGTTCGCTGATTTGCTGCATTGAACACCAACCTTTTTTCAATTGAGATCATGACCAGAAGCGTCGCGGATCCCTAGGGTTAGGGTAAATGAACATGGGCGTTTCCATGCCTCAAGTCCATTTGTTTTTCGTTTAAAAACAAGTTTCTCCTTTCAATCATTTTGTCATGTACTAGGCAGTGTACATATTTGCTTTTTTTTTGCCAGCAGATTGTTGGCATCAGTTTGACAAAAGCTGAAAGAACCATCAGACTATGGACGATGATTTTTCCTTATATATCAAGTATTCAACATAGATTCAAAACGGTCAGGTTGCAATCTAAACGGTATGCTTGTCCATGGGCATTTCCCTGCATGCAAGAGCGGAGGGAGGGAGGGAGAGAGAGAGAGAGAGAGAGAGCAGAGAGCAGAGAGCAGAGAGCAGAGAGCAGAGAGCAGAGAGCAGAGAGCAGAGAGCAGAGAGAGAGAGAGAGAGAGCAGAGAGAGAGAGAGAGAGAGCAGAGAGAGAGAGAGAGAGCAGAGAGCAGAGAGCAGAGAGCAGAG